TATTTATTGGGCCTCGAAGGAGCTTTGGAGAGCCTTGGATTCCTTGGGGATAAGGATGCAGCTGGAGGCCATGTGCAAAGGCTGAAAGGCTGAATTGAGGTGATGGCTGCTGAATGATGTTGGAGGCCATGTGCAAAGCCTGAAAGGCTGAATTGAAATGATGGCTACGGACTTGCCTTGGATTATTTTTTATGAAACGCTTGTCGATCACGAGCACCAAAAGGTGCTAGAAGCCTGAAAATGGAGAACAATTGAATAAAATTTTTTGACTGTAGTTTTTTTTTTTTTTTTTTTTTTTTTTTTTTTTTTTTTGTCGCTATGCAGCGACATTGAATGACCGAAGTCAAAAACTTTTTTGAAAGGAAATGATGATTCTTTGAAAATTTTGTTACTGGAGTTGTTGGGTGAAAATACCAAAACAGTCATCTTCATTAGGTTGGGCCAGATCTGTTTGGGAGCCATGGAATGAACCTGAGCATTCACTTCTGTTGGAGCCCATTTTTGAGAAGGCTATGGGATTGACTTGGGCTAAACCTTCCATAAGGAAGGCTTCATACTCATCTTTGGATTTTGCTTAAGAAAGTCTTGCTTTGGTCTGGCTTTTGGACAGGAGGAAAGCTGAAGACTCTCCTAAGCCAGAACATGAAATTGCAGGATGCTTTGAGAACCATTCTGAAATTGCTTCTGGAGTAACATCCTTGATGGAGAATTAGTCCCACCATTTAACTTTGAAAATTCTTCCTAGAAGAGGAAGATTAGAAGGGGAATTGAGGATTTGGAATTGCCATAGAACTATCCATGACAATGCAAAATTTGCAAAAAAAGTAAGAATGATTTGGGAAATTCCGAAAGCTCAGGAAGAGCTTGGAATTTTCATTGAAGTTTGAAAATCCCTTGGACATAGAATCAGGGATAATTTCTTTGCAAGGACCAAACATGTGCCACCAGTTAATGAACCATCTGGGGACATTCAGATTGAAATTTTTTTGGAAAAGGATAAGCCAAGAATGGCTATAATCCTGATTTTGGAAATAAAATGTATTGTACCAGGCATCCTGATAGTCCCAGTAATTGAAAGTTTGAGGATTGCGAGACTGAGAAAATTACCTCGGAGCATTGATGTTTTTACCCCAAGCTGCTGGAATAAGGACTTTTTGAATTGTACAAGTAGTGTGAGAAATGAAAGACTCATCACCTGGTTTTGAATGAGTTCGAATTTTGATGGAATCAGTGTCCACTAAAATAAACTCATAAAAATTTTGTGTTTTTCGAAAATCTGAAGTAGGATATTGGAAACCTTTGACAAAATGATTTTGAGAAAGTAAAATTAAGTTTTGGTTTCTGATACCCCTCGGATCCGAGACACGGGTTGATCAGGCCCAAACCCAAACCCGAGAGAATATCAAACAATTAATATTTTAATGAACACGAAATACAAATTGAATAAAAGAAATAAAATAATAAGCTGAAAGAAACTAGAATAAAAATCCTCAAAACATAATTATTTAAATCCGTTAATCCAAAACTCTATAAGTTTACAACTCGGGAATCCATCCAGTGGACCCCTTATTAAAACCCAATAGAAACTAAAATATCTGAAATAGAATCTAAAGCTAAACATAGAAAAGATTCCTACGTAGTCGGAGGAATGAATATATGTATCTACTCTGCACGTCCAAGCTTTAACCCTGGAACTGACGAACACTTGAAAAATAAAGAGTGGGTCAGGCCCACATGTAAGTCCTATTCTACTACGATCTAAGCAGTAATCCGATATGCAGATACATCCTAGATAGCTCAACAATATCTATCTAGTCTATACATATATATATCCACACTAAGGGATATTCACTAGACTACAGTAGGGGTCTCAACCTGAATAGAAGGCAACATACGAAAACGCACCCAAAGGTGGGCATGAGTACCTAGACCTAACAGGGTACACCTCAACCTACTTTAATCAGTTACGCATCCACTGCATATACGCACCTTAACCAACGAGTCTGAGACTCAAGCTCATCTCGTGGTACTATAAACATATATATAAAGTCCGTCCAAAACCAGGGTATGTCATTCAAATACTTATTGAGATGACATATAATATACAAACTAGTTAGTCACTCAACTTATTCAGTTGATATGACTTAACTACCATTCATTAATCCGAGAAGCCATTTAACTTAGTCGCAGTTGATCTGACTCAATCACAATTTAGATTCAATATTTTTCAATCCATCTTTTAATCCATTAGGGTAAGTTTAAGCGTTTTGAGCTAAACCGTCCCTAGTATGTCACCGTCCCATACCGGTGCATACAATCCTCCATATCCATATAAATTACAAAGCATAATAATAAGCTAGTAATTTAGAATCCAAACCATTATCCATATCATTGCAGAAAAGTATTTAAAATTTCAGCAATATAAATCCCAGCATTAATTCATTTAATTGCACTAGAGAATTTGATATTCCAACAATTAACATCCATAACATGCATAGTTCAAACCTTAAATATAAAATAATCTATCATGCATCCAATATAAGATTTATAATCTTATTATAATCCATTATGTTACCCAAAATTAAGCTAAGCAATTTGGTTCTTTCCATCCATTATCAGTATGCTAAGTTGTATGTTTTTATACTGATTCAGCCTTTAAATAATTTATAAAAACTTATTTACATATCCGTATTGTCAAATTTCCTAAGCATAAGAAGTGTATTATATATTTTAGAACCACCCAAAGTCCATTTAACCCATTTAGATTACTTAAAATAGGTTCCAAAACAATTCTGGGCAATTAAAACTAAGTTCCAGGTCGCGGCCCAACTTAGTCGGCTCAATTGCCAACTGAGCAAGCTAAGTTGCTAACTTAGTCGGCTAAGTTCCTAACTTAGTCAACTCAGTTTCCAACTGAGTCAGCTAAGTTGCCAGCTTAGTCGGCTCAGTCTCCAACTGAGTCAGCTAAGTTGGTGCTGATGCCCTCTTTTTCGTCCGTTCAGCCTCTGTAAACCCTAAAACTCCATTGCTAAGGCCTCTAAGCTTCAACCTACGTCCCATATGTCCATACTAAATTATTTTAAGTGTTTTAACATGCAAAGATTTAATTTAAACCACAGTTCATGCATAAAGATCACAAAACTAAAGAAAACACGAACAGGTATGTATAACTCTGCAACCCTCTGTTTTATTTTGATTAAGCATGCATAATTAATTTGTTTTAGCATTAATTAAACTCCTTGAGTCTAGTTAGGTATGCACAGAACACGAATTAAAGGGAAATAGCAAGAACAGAAACTCCTGCGTTTCACCATTGGGAGACTCACGAAGAGCATAAGGGCTGACCTAAGTAGTATAAACTTTGTAGTGGACTCTATAAACAACATTGAAAGGTATGACTCCATCCATCATTTTATAACCACTACTTGAGACATTGAGGGTTAAAGTATGAAGGATTGTTGGATCATCAAGAGCTACTGAATAATTTGAAAAACAATTGAAGTATTGTGGGCCATCAAAAAGGCTAGTTTGACAAACTCCTAACAAAGAGGTTTCAAAATTAAGATGCCTATAATCTCTGAGAGTAAGCATAATAGCAGTGTTAAATCCTCTTGAGGTAAGAGGTTTAACTGCAACTTGGACAAGCCCTATATATAAGAATTTGTACTTTTTCTTGTGTTCTACTATGGCTCTTTTTTGCAAAAGTTGGATGACTTCAAAAGGGTTTTTAAGAGAAATAGTTTGTTCAACAGTTTTGATGCAGTATCCTATTTGGAGGTTGAAAGTCGAGGATTTGTAAATATCCCTAATGGGAACCTTGGGTATGTTCCAAGTATCCCATTGATCACTTTGACCACTATCAATATGCTGTTCTTCTTGGTTAACTATCACTCTTCCTCCTAGAGGCGCTGACGATGCCGAAAACATGCTACGATCGAAAAAACTCATTGAACCTTACCTAAATGACCGTCCGTCCGACCAACCCAAAGCGGCACACCTAGCTTAAACGGGATTTAGGTCCAGAAACAGAAATGTAGAAAGGTTAAATACGCTTAATCACCACCTGCTGGCTCTGATACCATAAACACCCAGGATAAATAACTGAAAATGAATTATGATAGAAACAGAGCCAAGATCAGGATAAAGAACTATGATATATATATATATATATATATATATATATATATATATATATATATCCTTTTGGTCAGCTAATTGGTCAACATTACAACCTTTTGTAATCTTGACCAGTTAGCTAACCAAAAATAGAATACAATTGGTACCAGCCAAACTTCTTCTTGCCATAATAATAAAAAAAAGTGCAATATAGGTAAAATTATTGGTGGATTAATAAATTATTTAATTAGGTATTATTTAATAGCGTAATTAATATTTCAACAAGTGAAAGTGTCATTACGTAAAGAATTCATTTTGATAACTTAGAAATTTTTTTTAACTCTGATCCAAATCCAAACAAAAATTATATTACTTAATTAGTTGGCATCACTTGAGGTTGAATTTGTCATTCAAATGCACAAGAATTAATTTTCTTTTAACCTATTTGGCTCGCTACTCTGCCCTATTAATTACCATTAAAAAAATTTAAATAAAAAGGGATGAAAAATACCAAATCTTCCCTCTCTTCCACCTGTGGCTCTCTAACCTAGTATGCATCAGAACTCCATGTTACAAGGGGTCAAAAAAGCAGTCTTCTTTTTACATTTTCTTGGCATAAGACAAGAGCATGTCCTTTCTCCATAAAAGCAATTTGAAAAATAAAAGCAATTTGAAAAATAAAAACAGAAAAACAAAATATAAGTCCCCATCTAAATTTCCTGTAAAGTCTTCCCACTTTTTGTCTTCTTCCACAATTACCAAAAAACCAAAAACCTCCAAATTCACTTGGAGACAAATAGTCCTCCAATGCCACCCTATCCCACATTAAGTTAATGACATATGTTTATTTCAATATCATATTTGTTGTGTATATATATTCTCAATGTGCCCATGTTCAGATTATAGCTAGCCTAGCTAACACACACCCAAAGTGCCTACTTTTTCTTTCTCTCTGAACTTACCATGAGTACTACTCTTTCAAAAGCCTACGGAGAAAACCCTCTCCAACTTCACCATATTATTCCCCTTGATTTTCACACAGTTCACGCAGTCCCAGACTCTCACATATGGCCTCAATCTGACGATGACTTCTCATCTGGGGTCACACCCAATGAAGAGTCATCAATACCCATTGTTGATCTCATGGATCCAAATGTTGTGGAGCTTCTAGGTCATGCATGTGAAACATGGGGTGTGTTCCAAGTCACCAACCATGGCATACCCTTGAGTCTCATAGAGCATGTTGAGTCCGAGGCTCGGCGATTCTTCTCTCTCCCGGCTCATCAGAAGGAAAAGGTCTTAAGGTCCCCTGAGGGAGCCACCGGCTATGGCGTGGCTCGGATATCGCCATTTTTCTCTAAGTTTATGTGGCATGAAGGGTTCACCATTATGGGTTCTTCGGCTCATGATCATGCTAGCCAACTTTGGCCACATGACTATACACATTTTTGGTAAGTCCTTGTAATATCATGAACGTAGAGTAACAGAAAAATGCTTGCTAACTAGCTTCTTTAGGCTGTGTATTTTTTTTTTAGAGTATTCATGTTTAGAAGTAATAAATGGGCAATGGTCGAGCTGGTACAAGCCCCCAAGCTCCCCAGAGAGGTACTTTAACTTTCAAAAGAAATCTGGGCTCAAACCCCTCCTCATTCTCAAAACTTTTTGAGGACAGGGAGGTTATACGGCTAGGCTAAAGGGCAACAAAAAACTGACACTTATTTGTCTCTAAACTCAAAAAACATGATGTCCCACTTTGTACCACCTTAGAAGAACCATAAAGTCATAAATATATTATATCGATCAAAGTCTTATTTGAACGTGAATTATAATTTGTTCTATTGATTAGTGATACATAACTCATATTATATTCTTCTAATAATTGTGTGTTTACATGCATGGATATATATATATATACACGCATAGTGATGTGATGGATGAGTATCAGAAGAAGGTGAAAGCCCTAGCTTACAATCTCTTCCTTTTAATACTCGAGTCATTGGATATCTCCAAAGAAGAGATGGACAGGGCAACATCAGTTGGTGAGTCTGCAGGAGCATTGCAGCTAAACTCTTACCCTCCGTGCCCGGACCCGGACTGTGCCCTAGGTCTTGCTCCACACACTGACACACTCCTCCTCACTGTTCTACATCAAAGCGACACCGATGGCCTCCAAATCTTCAGGGAAGGTTCCGGGTGGGTGACAGTGTCGCCGGTGGCTGGGGCACTTGTCGTCAACGTCGGTGATCTCCTCCATATCTTCTCCAATGCTCGGTTTCATAACGTTTATCATCGGGCTGCTGTGAACCGGTCTAGGCATAGAATATCTGTTGCCTACTTCTATGCTCCCCCACCTGATTCTCTAGTGACTCCATTTTCCAAGCTTGAGTTTCCGCGTTATCGATCATTGACAGTGAAGGAGTATGTTAGGATCAAGGCCATGCATCTTGAGAAGGCCTTGTCTTTGATTAGAATTTAGCGGGTTCTTAGTTTGGAGATGAATGATCATTATGTAAAATTTATGTAATGAAAATTTTAAGTTGTCAAGTTTTTAAATTAATTGCAAACTTTTTTGATAGTTTTTTTTTTTTTTTTTTTTTTTTTTTTTTGGTAAAAATTAGGTGTTCAACATTTATTGATAAGTGAAGTCATTGTTACTTATATTTTATCTCATTTTAATTCACGTATTTCTTAATAAGTTATCAAACTGTAAAATTGTAATAGGAATGTTGTATGTCCCAAATTTTTGTTTTTTTGTTTTTTGTTTTTTGTTTTCCTCTTACTAAACAAGCTGAAAAGGAAGTTATGGAGAGATAGGGTTACCTAACCAAGTATTTCGATAATTGGTAATAGTGGTTTGTCAAATCAAGTTGAATTTTCAGTAAGCAAATTAAAGGGTAGCATTATGTGTTAATTTCAAAGGGCATTGGCTTAAAGAGCATTGAGTGGGGCCTACCAAGTCCATTCCTCCCAATCATTAGATTGAAAAGCTGTGAAATCAGCCTCTTGATCCAAGGGAGTTCATGAATTCAGTGAGAATGTCTCATTTGAACTTTTTCCTATTCCAGCTAATAGTTATTGTGTGCACAAGCATCTTGTGGCACTATTAATGCACACGTATTGTTGTTGTTTTTTTTGTATACGTAGAATTTCTATACCACGTTAATAATTGCAACAACAGGTGCACAGCTTCAATTCAGACAAAGTAATAACGTAGAGTACTATTTGCACTTTCCAAAAAAAAAAATTTTGTTAAGTTTTTTCGGTTTTTAGTACCAGACAGATTCTTTTTGGTTTTTAATACCAGACAGATTCAAATGTAAGACCCACGAAATCTCACCCACGTGAAGTTGTGAACCATACTTCTTGTCAATGATTCATCATAATATATATATATATATATATATATATATATATATATATATATATATAAATGTTCATAATATTGTCTCGTTAATTCTAAAAACAAAAAATTAAATTCACATATAAGTACCAAAGGTTGTAATTATTGTTGTTCAAAATATATTATTATATGTGTATCATATACTATAGTGTTACTATTTAAATATTATGTAAAAATATAATGTATATATATAATTATTATTATAAAATAATAATAATATATATATAATTTTCTAATAAAATATATGGAGTAGTTATATAGAATAAAATAAAATTATATAAAAATAAAATAACCTGATAATAGGTCGAGGCTAGAATTTGATTCTATGTCCTTAAAACAGATTCGTCCCGCTATGATGCTAATGGACACAGTAGCGTCTATTTCTCAGGATACAACAACATTTCTTTCTCCAGTAATAACACTGCAAACCGAAAAAATTGGCGAACCGACTTGATGTAGTACTCTCTCCTATAGACCGGATTCAAAGTCACATTAATGGTATATATGTATGCAAGAAGGGAGAAAAGGAAAAAATTCAGAATCAGATAAGAAGAATTCTGAATTTGGAGTGAGTTGCAAATGACCCCAAATGGGGTATTTGTAGGCAGCAAGGTGCCTTTTCGGGTGGGTGCAACCATGGGACATGATGGTTCCTTCAAATAGAACCAAGTGCAACCCTTTGAAAGAACTAGTTCAATTCAAATTCAAATATAAGCACTGGTTCAGACCAATCACACCCATTTGTGAAACCCATTTAAATAAGTCCAGCCCAAAATTTAAATTAAGTCCAAACACAAGCCCAATTTAAAATTCCGTTTAATAAAAAATTAAACGGATTTTACAATGAAGCCTAATCCCAAATTAAACTTGCCTAGGTCCTCTTCCTCTTAAAAACTTGGGTGCCCTTGAGCCCAAATCCAAATCCCAAACTTAGCTTATTTAAACTCCAATTGGTTTCATCTTATTTTCAATGTGAAGCATTTTCCACATTTTGCATACCCATTTAAGCTTATCAAATACCTTACTTTGGAGCTAATTTTTCATTCACCCGGAAATGGATTTAAGAAGTAAATATACCACGTTCATTTCCTTGCAGAGAGGAACGCGTTCGTCTATAAATCCGCAAAAAATTCTTAGCGGAACCTACTCCAAATTTAATCCAAAATTTCTGTTTTGTATGCCTCGTTTCCAACAATTATGTGTGAAATTATTGTCGATCGGGATTATAAAATAATGGCCAAATTATATCAAACTCTTTTATATATTAAAAAAAGTAGCCAAATACTTCCTGTATTATTGTTATTATTATTATTTAGTAACAAATACTTTCAATTTATCAATAGTTGCAAATTATCCCTTCTAGTTGATCACAAATGACTATCTCGCGTTAAGGGATGATGTAAAATTACATAAATACCCGCGAATAAGGAAATAGAAAATGTTTGAAGCCTAGTTCCTCAATAAGGAAATAGACTGTATGTTTTACTCCGTATTCCTTACCCGAACAAGCTGTGTTTATATAACCCTGGGACTTTGTACCTCGTGAGGTATTAAGTCTCACGTTTGAATTCTCTCGAGTGCTATCAATTCTTTAAAGGTCACGAATACGGACATAGTTAGAACTTTACCCAATTTGTGTAGAGGGGTCTTTGCACGAGTCCCGTGGATTAATCGGAGTAAAGCCCAAGACAACCAGATTATAAAAAAATAAAAATAAATAAATAAGTTGTATTTAGAAAGGGCAACGAACTGTGCTTATATACTTCTTTTCCTTTTTTTATTTTTTTTATTTTAATGATCATAAAATGATACTCTTTTGTGTATATATCATTTTTTCCTCGTTGAGCAAGGAAATGGTGCTAGTTAGTTTATAAGGTTGCATTTATTACTTTGTCATTCTTGAATCTATTTTTTTCGATAACTGGATTGGCTGGGGTTTGCCCCGACTAATCTACAGGACCCATACAAAGAGTTATTCCTCTCCACACGGGTCGTAAGAAGCTCAGATTATGTCCGTTAATGTGGCCCCTAAGGAATTGTTAGCACCTAAGAGGAATCGATTCTGAGACCTAAAACTTCAAAAGGCAGTATGACCCAAGCCTTTTTCAATTAAGCCAACTCCTTAAAGTTCATTCTTGATTCTTGAGGCTTAAATTTATAGTTTGGAATTGTGGTGAACCCTTTTATGAAGGCTTGAGAGTCAATGAAGAATAGACAACACGTACTGGCCGGAAGTTCTTTTCATTTTCTTCTTTGGGCCAAAGGTAAGACCCTAACCCATCGAAACCATTGCCCACCCTATTCATTTAACTTTTGTCAACTATAAGAATAGAATGGAAGTTTCTAACCTTAGACCTTTCTTTTATAAGCCAAATTGATGTGCAAGGGTATTTTGAATGACTCAACAACCCGAGGTTCAAACACTTAACCTCTTCATTTGAGGAGGAGAGCTTAGACCATATGGGCTAATACATATTAGTTTTCTTCTTCTTTTTCTATTTCCTTATATATGGATATTTATGTATTTCACATCATTCCCGAGTGACGGTTGGTCCTCCGTGAATCAAAGAGGGTAATTTGTAACTTTTGATAAATTAAGGACGTTTATTGCAAAAATAAACAATAGAAGGGGATTTTTGTAACGTATTGAAAGTATAGGGAAATTAAGTGCAATTTGGCCTAAAATAACAAACAAATAAATAGATAAATAATAAATCCACTTATCCATTATATTTATCTTGTATCAATTATGAACTTACACATCAATGGATGGACGTTAAGTGCAATGCATGTGCACATATTTTTTATAAATTAATGATTGTTTTCTTTTTTGTCTACTTCTTTGGGCTGCGACGAGTTTATGACTTGTTTTCTATGTGCAGTGCTGTAGCCTTTTCTCTCATATTGTGTGTGTGTGTGTGTATATATATATATATATTCTATAATGTTCAGAATTTTGCCCTCTTGAGGATTTAACTTGAGCATAATAATTTTAAGTCATTAACTTGTTGACCAGAACAGGTTAAAAAATTCTTTTAACATGTGTGTGTGTGTATATATATATACACATATATAAATGTATGTATATTGAACCGGGAAACACATTTTGGAAACTACCACATGAGATATTTATTTTTATTATTTGTTTAAAAAAAATTCTTGAAAAAAGTATGAGGCAAGATTCTCATGCAACAAGCAAGCTCATCTTTGTCAAATTCACAACTGAAAATAATTGAGATAAATTTAACAGTTACTACGTTAATTCCGACCTCATTTGGAGCGGATTAACTCAGAAGGATTGAGGAGATTTTTTGTGTAATGTTTGCCAGCTTGCATGATGTGTTGAATCACAAGTAAAGACAGAAGAGCAAGTAGAGTTGCGTATGTAAGTTGGATTTACTTGCATACAATCACATAAAGTAAGTCCAAAGAAAAACCATGCATCCTTGGCATTATCAATCAAAACAAAAGAATCTTAAAAAACAGAACTATTTGCATGTCTTTCGACTAAAAGAATCTTGAGGTGGGATTGTATTTGAAAATTCATAGCATGACACCCCCTGAAAAGACATTTCTGTAACTATTTGGATGTCTTTTGAGTGCTTTTCAGATGTGTGTGGACGTCCTAGAGTCTTTGATTAGGATTTGACGTGTCGCCTCGAACATGGTTCGAGGCAGGAGTATTGATAAGGCAATTGTGAGGAGGTAAGGAAAAGGTTGGGCATGTCCCCACTGAGTTTCAAGCCTACTCGTGCTTGATTGGGACAATTTTTTTTTTTTTTGTTTTTTAAGTTGGGATTCGCATCCTGATTTTTCTTTGAGGAGTAGAAACCTTCTATCGGTAGGTCAGAGGCTGTTAGTGATTAGGACAATTCTCAATTAATCTCTTATTCCACTGTCTTCCTTAACTTCACATGAATTAATGTGTGCTATGTAAGGTAAAATTTGAATATATACAATTAATAATATATTATTTAAATCAAGACATTTGATATTTCTTAATTACTGGACCATCCGTGCAGGTTATTTTACTGTAGATTTAGGGTCATCCATGATCAGATTGTCATTTGATTTAGATTTTTGGAATAGGCTTGGTCCTTTTAGTTGGATTTGTGTATGTTTGATGGTTTTGTTTGCCTTCGGCTAACGGTTGGGCTTGGGGCCCAATTTTGTAAACCCTAGTCCTATTTTGCACTTTTAGGCTTGTACATTTTTCAAATTATGTATACAAATGCTTTAGAAATAGAAAAATAATAATAATAAAATAAATAAATAAAGTGAAGTCTATGAAAGTGAAGAATTATAAGCACTTGATGGAACATGGTGGATCGAAGGAACTGAGTTGCTTTATGTATACGGTATATATAGTGTCTTGTCTTTACTCAGCTAAACAGCTTCGTACAAGGTGAAAGTCTATAATACTCCAGAGTACTATATTTCCGAGGTTTTCAGCCATTAAATGTGGGGGTAAGACTTACTTGACGAATGATTCAACGGTTGAGAAACCCTAAGAGTACAGTTCCCCGAGAATATTGTAAACTTTTTCACATACAAAGAGGAGAGTTGTGATAGATAGCTTAACGATCAACGAAAAACTTTTGCCAAAATTAATATGAATACTAATAATATACGAGTAAATATTAGGGCATACACCTTAATTAGTGCGTTGCAAAATTTTGGAAGGTTTGATCGAAACTATAATCTTAGATCGAATGGAGAAAAAATGTTGAATATATTAACTTGTTACCGGTCAGACTCACCTGTTCACCTTTTCAATTGATGGTGAAAAAAAGTTGAATCTTGACTCAATACAAAAACTTGTGTGCATTGAAGATCTTGCAATGTACGTGGAGCCTATGGCGTGTTAATCAAAGTGAATAGTTCGATCGAATAGTCTCAACTAATTAATTGCTACCATCACAAGTTCTAAAGTGAGTTTTATTAGAGACTAATTTTAATATATCTAAAAGTTATAAGTGATAAAAATATAAATTTATCAGAAAAATAATAATAATAATAATAATAAGTAATACAGTTAGGCCGAGGCTGGTTATTCACTTCGAAAATTATTTTTTTTTGTAGAGCCCAATAGGTATCTTAACCCTAATGATGTATAGAATTCTCATTGATGGAGAGGTCGAGGCCATGTACTATAGGAAATTAAACTTAAATATGAGGCAAGTCCATAGGAAAAGTTAGCATAGCCTCATTTGTGATTATATATATATATATATAACAACAAAATATAATACTAACCCGATCTTAAAGAATATAAACCCTTCTTAAATCTATCACCTTAAATGTAGGCATGTTATGGTCATGGGGCCCATGACCATTATACACACATACATATATGTATAGTAGTCATAAATTAAATGCACCTTAAACTAAGAAATTAAAGCTTGTAGTTGACATGCATGTGGGGTCTAACATGTGGATAGATTTGAAACCTTTTTGGCAATGGATGTGTGTGTTTTGTTAGTTAACGTAGCTGCCAATAATTTCTTACGTGTCTATGTGGCCCGCTAATTACTTTGTCCCTCCTCTAAATAGTTTCCTAGGCATCAATCAAAGGAATCGAGTCGAATTACATTTTAGATCATTTACGTGTTCCGTTTGGAATCCGTTCGGAATTATTCAAAAAAAACTAAGTTTACGTTCGGACTCATATATTATGGTTTCGAATTAGGCTCAAACTCGACTTGATTCATTTAAAAAAATAAATGGAACATATATTCAAAATCAGTTCAGACTTATTTAATTAGTAAATCATTACAATTTTATTATATACTTCAAAAGATTAAAGAATCCTAATTAAAATAAATAAATATAAATATAAAAAAGTCCCATAATGAACTTACGATCTACCATTCACAATTTACAAACATAAACAAACTTACATGAATAGAGTCAACGACTTTATTTACTAAACGAACCCGAGCCAAGCCTAAGTCTCGATTCATTTATAATCCTACTATTAAACAATTGCATGCATTGCCATGAGATCAACAACTCTTTACATAAAATAAGTATATTCATATATTTATTAAAACAAAAAACAAAAAAAGTGATGAGATGCTCATCAATCTTCATAAAATAAGTCGTCTTTTCTTTTCACGAATAGCGCCATCAATTTTGTGGAACAGGTGTATTTTATCTTTTAAGCAATTCATGCATTTTTCATTTGCTTATCATCAATTATTATATTATCATTAATTATAAGCATCATCGTCATATAATAATGAATTTTTGTAGCATATGATAGCAATTGTGGTTATAATTCACGATACAAAAAGTTTGTCAAATATCCCGACTTCTCCTGTTACAACTTTATTTGAGTAATTAGTTGATATAATAAATAAATAATAAATGGTACGAAACAGCAATAAAAAGAAAGACAAGTCTATTTAAACTCATATCTATTTACCAAAACCAGCTTCATACATCCCAACTGTCTCTATTAGGGCAACGTGGACAGTTCATGCATAGGACAACAACATACAAACAAAAATATTGCCCCATTTCAATATTGAAAACTATTACAAGTCCATTCAATATATCCTTTATTTTTCCTTCTTAATTTCCCACAAAAAAAAAAAAAAAAAAAAAAAAAAAAAAACCTTATCTTTTCCCCAGAGTTCAAAACTGAACCATCAATGAATGTGGCAGTTCTTATCGAGAAAGAATAAAAAAAACTACGTAAGCAAGATTTGGAATTCTAAAATCTTTTTCATTTTCAATATATCTATATATATTTCACTCTACCCTTTTTAGATTTGCACGCCAAGAGACTTGATTCAATTGATGGCTAGCAGTCAAGAGACAGAGACTTGATTTGATTCAATTGATCCCCAGCAAACATACAAGTAAATATGTCAGCTTTAGCCAAAATAAGTATTATTGGTATTACGTGCTACTTGTCAGAATTAAAATAAAAAAATAAAATAAAAGATAATTAAGATTGTATTTGTTGTTGGTGATTAAATCTATGCCCCTCAAAGCAAACTTTTTAGTTTTAACAGTACACTGTGCTATATGCAAACATTACTATAAGGTCACAAAAAATTGATTTCAACAAGTGGTATTTTAAGTAATTAATCATATATGCAAATCCAAGATAATAAGACAACAAATTGATTTCAACACAAGACTAGTTCCAACTATAATCATATTACATGTGATATTATAGGCATCAACTCTTACTCTCTTTTAAATGGTATCTCAAATGTGTATTAATAGCCTAATGCTGACTAACCAATAGAGAACATCACCAATTTTTTAATTTTTTTTTTAATAAATAAATTCAAAATAAAAAGGGAATCAGAATCTGGAGCTATTTCTATATCTTGGCTTCGAACTTTGCAACCATCCATTTAATTTCACGACCATCTATCAATCTTCAAATTCAGGAACTATTCATTTTGTCTATATTCACACACCTGATAGATTCAACATTAGCTCTCCAACTGAGTAATGCTTCAAAAGCTCTTCACATTTAATGGGAGCTCTCTGAAGTTTGGTTCCGAAGTCTCTCATTCTTTGCACATTCCTCCTGAAAATTAAAAGATCTAATTAAGAATTTGGGTAATAAACAAGATTGACCGGTGGCAATTGGCATGTACTGGGACAACGATAGCAGCATGCCAAATATTGACAGAAAAATCTCGAGATAATAAGCAACTAATGATGCAGTAATGGTGAAATGCATTATGATTATTTTTCACAATTAGATTCTACATTGCAGCTAATGCAGTATCAATGCTGGACAAGTTGCAGATAATTCAATTGGGTAGGCTGCAGAGTGTTAAAAATAACCTCTTCCTCAATTTCAACTATAATTTATACACAAAAAATAAATAAATAAATAAAAATAAAAATAAAGAAGAAAGTATTTATAACTACTTGTTCGAATAAATAGCACTGACTTTTAATTTCATATATATATATATATATATTAATGATATTTAAGAAATTTTCTCTTTGATTGGAGCATTAACTCCATTCAGGTCATGTAGATGGTAGATGTGCCATTTTTGTGAGACGTATATTTTTGTTCATTCCTTGTTGATCACTGCATATCCAAACAAGAGATCCCTAAATTTGTTGAGCACCCAAAAAAAATTAAAATGATCTATTGCATTTATGAGAACCTAATTTTAAGTCACTAATTCCAGAAGAAGTCAGTAGTGCTCCTGAAGATGCAAGGCCTCCTCAGCTCCAAAGTCCAAAAAACCGCATTTTCCATTTGACAGTCAAAACTTTTACGATTGGACCAATCAATAACCAATTACACTTCCGATTACTAAAAAGTTTAGAACTATTACTGTTGTTAAAATTCCAATATCACTTGCAATAACCAAAATGCATTCCACTTTGGAATGAGCTAATTTATTCATTGTCTTTTTAGTAGGTTTTTTTTTTTTTTTTAAAGGAGACATAATCATTCAATTTCATTGTGTTCAAAACTGAAAACAATACAAAAGTTTTCCCTTCACACATTAAAAAACAAAACAAGTAGTTAATTAAGATATTATTCAATAAATCAATTGACATCCAACATGTTTTGTAGTTAAGAGACGACCTACAGCATGGAATAAAATATTATAATGCTCTACACTTGTAAACTATAAAACTTTTTAACGTACACTCTTCAAAGTTGCAAGGGAAGCTTAGTACATCAAGAACCATAAAATGAAATGAGGAGGGTGCTAGGTGTCGGAATATTTTCAATAGCCTAAACAGTGAATGCTATAACATTATGAAGTATTAGGTAACTTTTTCTATTAATTTAGAATCACCTCCGTCAGAGTCCTCAGAGGAAGAGAAATTTTCTGTTTATAACTGAATCTGAATAGTTTTGGGTTGCTATTGCTAATATGATTTAATTGTAAAATAATTTTTTTTTTTTTGATAAGTAATTTAATTGTAAAATAATGATCATGGTGCTTACATGGAAATCTTGTAAAAGAGAATAACTGTGCCTTTGCTTTGCAATTGCCGTAGCATACTTCTCCTTGACAGCATCACAAACTTTCTGCTCTTTCTCTAGCATGAGTTGCACCTTTTCCAGCTTCTGTAACATGGATTTCACAGTATATACCCCTCAAAAAATTTAAATAATTTGCACGCAACTGAAGGAACAACCAGGAGCTTGCCAATACTTAAAATAACTCATACCAGTTAACAAATCAGAATTCAACTGAATTCAGACTAATCCTGATCATCCAGAGTCAGCTAATACTCTTGAGTTTCTTGGTTAAGAATATGTGAGATGCCTTTCCTAGGAATATTTGCTCTTACTTGATCCATTTGAGAAACTTCAACTTAAAACAGCTTTGCCAACAGAAAATTTAGAAGACTGAAACTTCTACGTTGACAATCAAAACCTTTCAGATGAGTTAATTTGTAGTTTTAAGTTACCAATTTAGAGGTGGTTACTGGGGTTTCGATAGGTCCTTCAATCATCAAGTACACTATCGACTTCCCACACTTCTCATGACAACATCACCGACCTTTGGCGCTTATGGGAGGCATACGATGCATGGGATCAAATCCAGTGGTTTTTTAAAACATGTTTTTGATGCATGGAAGGGATATAATACCTTATACTTACCTCTTACCTTGAAGGATTCTTTCATAGCTTATTGGAAGTAGAGAGACCACAATTGAACACATGCTCTACTTTCTCTAAAAATAGTTGAAACTCGAACAATTCATAACTAAATTAAATGACATGCCAAAGGCAACATAGAGGTGAGAAGATGTATTACCAAGGATACCAAAACATGCTTTATGGCACACAGTGGTAAGCATTCGAGAAAGATGTCCACCGTATGGATGAATGATAAAGCAAGAAAAGATAGAACTAAAAATATGTGTTTCTGAGAAGCTATGTAGATATGAGAAGGAAAAAGGACATTCCCAATGGGAGGTCATGTGAAATGGAGACCAACAAATGCATTAATGAGGATTATGTGGATAGATTAAGTTTTAGAAAGGGAAAATTACAAAAAGTTGCAAGTTGAAGGCAGGAGAGAAGGCATTGGGGCCCATGACAGAGAAGTTTGCCTTGGTGAGAGCACAATAGCACGAAAAAGAACTCCAGAAGAAAATCAAAATTAGTTGGAATAGCCTTTATTTAGAACAATTTTCTTTTTTCAGAAAAGAATAAGCATATAACCATATTTGTTTCGAAAAATAACAAAACAATTCATCCTTCCTTTACTTTTTGAAATCACCTTTTAAAAACATTTGTCTTTGTTGTTGCGCAATTAAACGTGGCCATATTAAGTTGTTCATAATTCCATCATTGAACTCCTTTACTGAAATCTTTTCTTTTCAATGTACTTTACTCATTGTCTGAACACTAAAATTCTATTTCAATAGTTCATTGATAGTGTAGGTGACATGATGCGAATGGGAAAGAAAAAGAATCCTCTAATTAAAAAATAAGGGGAAAATCCATCAAACTCAATACCAAAGAAAATCAGGACAAAGTTCATAAACACAAAACATCAAAGGAAATAAAAGCAGCAACTTTCACACAAAGTGACAGCATATGTTGTATTTTCAGGAATTAGTGTTCTTTATGGCAATTGAAGAATATTTTGCAAGACCTAGTTGGTCATTTCCTTTGTGTCTCAACAAGAAGTAAGATACAACTACCCAAAAAAGATTTGAATTTCAAAGACCTTGACGAGTTGTTCCAGTTTTAGCAAGAAAGCACTTCATTTGCATCACTTCACAAATTAATTGAACTCATTCTTATAGATAGGGAAAAATTTGACGCAACTAGAGCAAGATAAGTGCTAAATTAGAAGTCTCCCTAGAATCAAGAGGGTTAAGAATAAATAGGACAAAAATTGAATATATGGAATTTAACTTTATCAAAGTACGATTTATGGAAGCATAACTCGGAATGTTTTAGACGATTATTCACTCTGAGAAGGAAAGAAGTCAAATCGGATGGAACTGCTTCTCGTCGGCAAGAGAGGTTCCGGAAAAGGCATAAGGAGGGTGGTCTCATCGGTCTTGGCCGGCCGGCGTTCATGCAGATGTGGAGAAAGGAGCGTCGGCATGGTGGTTCTCAAGTCAATCAAGCGCGTGGGAGGGAGAGCGTTGGCGGCCTGACACGTGGTTGGCCCAGAGGCTTTGGCCGTTCAAAGTGGTTGACAGCTGCATCCAATTTCATTTCAAAACCTTAGGCTCCGAATATAAGCAAGACCAATTTTGGAGTTAAGTCGGTGACTGGGCCTCATAATGGGCTGAGAGTTAAGGCTTCTAGATCCAATTCATTTTCTTCTTCTCGTGGGCTTGTGGTTGGTAAGCCTGGCCTGATTAATGAAGATGTGTTATCATCTGATGGTCCGGATGGAGGTGGTAAGGCCCAATCTGTGGATGTTGTATGTAGTGGACATGGACCCGTTGAATTGGGTTGTGCTTTGAAGGAAGGTCCGGATGCTTTTAATGTTTTCTCTTCTGGCCAGTGTTGGGTAACCGGTTTGGGCCTTTATGTGATGCTGTTGATTCCATTGAATTTAATCCGTCCACAGCGTTTCCTGAAGGCTTTAGAAGAAGTCAAAGTTCTAAGGGGCTGTTGCAGGGACACCGTATGAAGAAGAAAGTGATTTTCCCCCCCGTTTGCAAAAAATGGTCTAGAAAGGAAAAACAGAAGTGGATTCCGGTTTCGATGTTAGCCTCTAGACCGGGTATGTCTTTTGATTCACCTCATCACTCTCCCGCTCTCCCTTCTTCTTCCACTTCTCATCCCTGTGGGGTGTCTCGAAGGAGCCTGGTGCCAAAAAAGGGAGTTGCGGCTTCTGTGTCTAAATGCTTGTCTCCGGTTTTTGAAAGGGAGCCGAAGCTTTTTCTTGAGAAAAGACCTGGTCACAACGATGATTTTGAGATGGGTTCCCCTCGGTTGTGTGATGTTAGCAGAGACGGCTTTACTGTGTGTGTGGGGCGAGATGTGCAGATAAGGATTGATGATGTTTCAGCTGCTGTGCTCTTGAACAAGTTGAGAGCTCATTTTGTGTCGAAGGGCTCTGTTTCTGACCAGAATGATCGTTTGGCTGATGAGGTGTTTGGAACTCCTTTTTCTTGCTACTCTTCATCTTTGTCATCTGTTGAGTATGGGGAGGATGGGTCGTGTTCCTCTGTTCATGGGGAGGCGGGCATGGTTTTGTGGAATGGATGTGAGTCTGATGTTGATTTGCTTACTCCTTTGGCAGTTGTTAGACCAAAAGAGGATACTGTAGAATGAAGGGGTTTTGATGCTGGGTTGGCTGATTTGGAGAAAGATTGGTTGAAAGAAAATGGTGTTGAGATAGGCTCTCTTTTGGGTGTGTCATTTGAGGGTCGGATAGAGGAGGCGACAAATCTTTTCCTTGATGTTCTTAATGCTCAGTTTGCTGATAGATTGGATTGTAGGGGGAGTGCTCCAGTGGTGAGAGAGGAGAGAGGGTTTCCAAGTCCCTCGACTCTCGTTACTTACGAAAGGAGGAGGAAGAGGGGGGCCAGGGAGAGGGCCAGTGGGAGGAGGGGTAACACGGTCAATACTACTGTTTCCCTATAAAGCTTCAAATTCTTTCTTGGAATGTTCGGGGTCTTAACGACCCGACTAGAAGGAAAGTGGTGAAATCGGTGATTCGGAAAGCGGGTGGTCATCTAGTTTGTCTTCAAGAAACAAAGATTACTTCCATGACGGATGTGATTGTTCGAAGTTTGTGGGGTGGGAGATTGGTGGAATGGTGTGCCTTGGATGCGATTGGTTCTTCGGGAGGTATCCTGATTATGTGGGATGTTCTTGGATCTCTTTGTTGGATTCTCAGGTTGGGCGTTTCTCGGTCTCCTGTACTCTTTCCGTGGTGGAGGATGGCTTTCGATGGATTTTTTCTGGGGTCTATAGGCCTACGGAGGATAGTGAGTGCCATTTGCTCTTGGAGGAGTTGGGGGAGATTCGTAGGCAAAGGTCGTTGCCTTGGTGTATCGGGGGGGATTTCAATGTTGTTCGTTCCCCTTTTGAGAGATCGACAAGAGGAAGATGGACAGCTGATATGATGGCTTTTTCAGAGTTCATTGATGCTTGCTGTTTGCTTGATTTGCCTTTGGTGGGTGGGCCTTTCACTTGGTCCAATGGACGTTCTCCTCCTACTCTTTCTCGTATTAATAGATTCTTGGTGTCGAGTGATTGGGAGGCGAAGTTTTCTGATGTTGTTCAGACCATCTTGGCTCGTCCTTTGTCGGATCATGTTCCGTTGTTGTTGGACTGTGGCGGGCTGCATAACAGAAGATCCCCATTTAGATTTGAGAATATGTGGCTCCGTGCTGAAGGTTTCTTGGAGCGAGTTCGATCCTGGTGGGCGGGGTATGGAGTGGTTGACACTCCGAGTCATTCTTTGGCAGGCAAGTTGCGTTTTTTGAAGAATGATCTCAAAGTTTGGAACAAAGAGGTGTTTAGTAATTTGGTCTGGAGGAAGAATCGGGTTCTCTCTGAGATTGCTGACATTGATAAGATGGAGAGTCAGGGTCTGTTGACGAGTCCTTTGAAGCGTAGGAGGGTGGAGTGTCAAGCAGAGTTTGCTGAGATTGCTGTTATGGAGGAGATTTTGTGGAGACAGAAATCTAGAGCTTTGTGGCTTAAAGAAGGAGACAATAACACTAAATTCTTTCATAGACTTGCCAATGCTCACAGAAGAGGCAACCACATTGGGAGGATTAGGGTGGATGGGGTGTTGATTAGTAAAGAGGAGGAGATTAGTAAGAGTTTCTCTGAGTACTTTTCGTCGCAGTTCACTAAGTCAGCTGTTTGGCGTCCCTTGATTGATGGGATTCATTTTGATTCTATTTCGGGAGAGGAGTGCTCTGCTTTAGAAGAGCCTTTTTCAGAAGAGGAAGTCCTCTCTGCTCTAAAGAGCTGTAATGGGGATAAAGCTCCTGGACCGGATGGCTTTACTATGAGGTTCCTTTTGGAGTGTTGGGAGGTGGTTCGTGGGGAGGTGATGGGCTCTTTTCATGCCTTCCATGCGCAGGGCTCTTTTGAGAAAAGTTTGAATGCAACCTTTATTGCTCTTATTCCGAAGAAGGGAGAGGCTATGGATGTTAGAGACTTCCGCCCTATTACTTTGGTGGGTTGTTTTTACAAGCTGATTGCGAAAGTCTTGGCCTCTAGGTTGAAGAAGGTGATAGATGGTATCATTTTTGACTCTCAGAATGCATTTGTGGGAGGTTGGCAGATCTTGGATTCAGTTCTTATTGCTAGTGAATGTGTTGTTTCCCGCTTGAGCAGTGGTGTTCCGGGTGTTCTTTGCAAGCTTGATATTGAAAAGGCATACGATCATGTGAGCTGGAGTTTCCTTCTCTACCTTTTAGAGAGGATGGGTTTTGGTGGGCGGTGGAGGGGATGGATTCTCTTTTGCATCTCTAGCGCTCGTTTCTCTGTCCTTGTGAATGGAGTGCCGACGGGGTTCTTCTCTAGCTCAAGGGGCTTGAGACAAGGAGATCCGCTTTCCCCTTTCCTGTTCCTTTTTGTGATGGAGGCTTTTAGCAGATTACTGAAGAGGGCTGTGGAGTTGGGTTCTTTGGGAGGCTTTCGGGTGGGTAGGGATGCTGCTAGTCAATTGGAGGTTTCTCATTTGATGTTTGCAAATGACACTATTGTGTTTTGTGATGCAGAAGCGTCCCAGCTGAGGTTTTTGAGATGCGTTCTGATTTGGTTTCAAGTTGTGTCTGGCCTTAAGGTTAATGTTGGTGAGAGTCTTCTTGTGCCTGTTGGAGATGTTCCAGGAATTGAGTTGTTTGCTCAGATCCTTAGATGTTGCACTGGCTCTTTTCCCATTTCTTATTTAGGATTGCCTTTGGGTGCCCCTTCGAGATGCGTGGGGAGATGGGATCCGGTTGTGGACAGAGTCGAGAGGAGGTTGGCGGGCTGGAAAAAGCAATACCTGTCCAAGGGGGGTCGGGTTACCCTGATTAAGAGCACCTTTTCTAGCCTTCCTACATACTTCTTTTCTCTGTTTCAGATTCCTTCTTCAGTGGCTGAGAGAATTGAAAGTTTGCAGTGCAATTTTCTTTGGGGAGGGAAAGGAGAAGAGTTCAAGTTTCACTTGGTTCTGTGGGATCAAGTGTGCCGTCCAATTCGGTTTGGAGGCTTAGGGTTTCGGAGGTTGTTGCCTTTTAATAAGGCTCTTCTTGATAAATGGCTTTGGAGATTTTGGATCGAGAGGCATTGGTTATGGAGGAAAGTTATTGCTTGCAAATATGGGGAAAGTCGTGGTGGGTGGTGCTCTCTGGTGATGCGTGGTCCAAGGGGTGTGGGAGCTTAGCATTTCATTCGGAGAGGTTGGGATGACTTCTGCAAGCATATTCGTTTTCGTATTAAAGATGGAAGGAGGATCAGTTTTTGAAAGGATCTCTGGTGTGGGGAACTCCCTCTTGCTCTAGCGTTCCCACGGCTCTACAGGATTGCTTCTCATCGGCAGGCCATGGTTGTTGACTGTTATCATCTTGATAATGGGAGACTGTATTGGGATGTTCAATTCAGGAGGCATTTTCAGGATTGGGAGATCGAGGATGTTTCTCGTTTTCTGGAGCTGTTGTATAGCCAAGTGATTTCTTTTGGGGAATCAGATTGGTGGTTCTGGATTCCTAACTCGCATGGCCGTTTTGAGGTTAGGTCTTTTTTCAGATGTCTTTCGATTGGTCATGGATATCCATTCCCTTGAAAGTCTATTTGGCGATCCAAGGCTCCCCGCAAGGTCACTTTTTTTGCTTGGACTTTTGTTCTGGGTAAGATTTTAACCCAGGATAATCTGAGGAGGAGGAATCAAGTGGTGGTCAATCACTGTTACATGTGTTTATGTAATGAGGAATCTGTTGATCACCTCCTTTTACATTGCAGCATGGCCAGAGATTGTTGGGATTTGATGCTTCGATTATTTGGGGTCCATTGGGCCATGCCTTCTTCCTCTAGAGGGTTCATTGAGGCTTGGAGAGGCGTCTCTGTTGGGGCTGGCATTAGGGATGCTTGGAGGGCTATGCCGCTTTGTATCTGGTGGTGTATTTGGCTTGAGAGAAATAGGAGATATTTTGACGGAAAAAAGAAGCCTGTTTCTATGCTTAAGTTCTCTGTTATTTTTACTCTTTTTTGTTGGGTTTCAGGGAGATACTATAGATCTATGGAGGAAATTATTGTTTTCTTAGCCTCTCTGAAGGTCTAAGGCGCCCTTTGGCCCTTTTGTTTTCCTTTTGTTTCTCTGGGCTTCGTTCCCCTTTTGAGCGTCTTTAATAAAATCTTACTTATCAAAAAAAAAAAAAAAAAGTACAAATAGAAGCTGAGATATAGGGAAAATAAGGGTCAAGAGATGCCAAAAAGTCCTAGGCTCAATTATTCTAACAAAGGGAGGAACTGGAGATGATGCTAATTATAGACTTAAAGCAGGATGAGTTCAATGGAGGATTGCTTCTGGCATATTGTGCCATCGACATATATCTCTAAACTAAAAAGTAAATTCTATGAAATTATTATTAGACCAACATACTTTATGAGACAAAATGTTGGCATTAAGAAGCACATATTCAAAAATGAATGTGGCCAATATGCAAATGTTGAGTTGGAAGTATGCCAAGACAAGATCAGATAAAATTTGAAATGATCACATTCAAAAGCTGGTTGAAATACCAGAGGGCATGTGGCCCAATGGTATAACTCTCCATCCTTAAAGAGGAGAGGGATTCGAGCCTGGGTGTGGGCAAAAAAATGTGCGTTAGTGTGTTTTGTTGCCAATGAAAAAAAAAATATAAGACTGCTTGAAATAGCATCCAATGGAGATAAAATGAGAGAAAATCTACAATGTGCAGCAAGAACCAATAATTGCACCAAGTAGGGAAAAATGATATGGTCCTCGTTGAGGGTAATGTTATAAGAGAAGACTAAAACAAACATGATTTGAGATAATAATAAAATATATGCTAGCATTTGCTTTGACAGAGATTATAGCCCTGAATCAGGGCATGTTTGCTTAAGCTGTTAACGCACTTTCTAGCAAGGACGACTGAGTGAGATTATGCAATAGACGCCATCACCTGGACCAACAAGGACAGTAGAGAGCCTCTCATATTGTGTTAGAATGAGTAATATGCATTATTCAAGTGCATTTATCCAAGACAGAGAATAATAAGGAAAACTAGGAATTTGGGGTAAGCTTGGGGGACTCGATTGGGGTTAAGAATTGGGCTATGACAATATAATTTGTCATAAAGAGTCACTTTTCTGCAGAGAAGACGATGAGATTTGAAGAAAATCAGGTGTTGTTCAAGGTTGTAAAAAGAATATATTGGCATTGGAATGGACCTAATGGTGAAACAAGATTTATATAACCAATCTCAAATAGTTGGAAAAATGCTTTATTGAAATGAGTACAGAAAAGTTTGCAATTACCTGTTGAGTTCCCTTGACAATTCCATCCATGGAATCTGTAAGTTTCGTACGACCAGCGGTGCTAGTAATAGCATTTTGAAACTATACAGAAATTATAAGAAAAATAGTCACAAATGATTAAAAATTTCAGTAATATAGGATACACATTCTACTGCACAAAACAAGGTACTGCGTGCCAAAGAATATTTTAGGCCCCAGTTCAGTTTATCAAGGAGGGACGGTTCTGATAAATAATCTTGTAATATTGATTATCTCAACCAGAATTAAGTTCACTTCACTACACAGAAAAGGAAATGAAAGAATTTAGTATACAGGTTTAAGAAGCACCACTATCTCTAAGTAGAAAATGACAAAAGATAATGGATTTTATAATCTTTGAAAACCAAAAAAAACAAAAAAACAAAAGTTCTATGCAACACATTTACATATTAATCAGCTAACTGAGAGGCAAACAGTAAGGAATTTTAACAAAGTAAGAGATTAATAGGGAGTTCAAATGGTTGTACACATGCAAACATTATTTCAGATGGTTACTTTCAACAAAGTCATTGAGTTGAATGTTTATTTATTTTTTGCTGTTAGTGAAAGGTATCATTCATGGTTATTAGTCAAACATACCTTTGACTTCATGATGTAAAGGCATGCCTATTGAACTCATAACAAACAACCAGTAGAAGTTTTTGAAAATATATGTTATCAGCTTCCCCCATAAAAAGTCCCTAAAGTCGCCTAAATTTACAAAAGAAACTTTTTCATATGTCGTCTGCACAGTATCGGCCCCAACACACTCCCATACAAAATGGGCCAAAGAGCCAAAGCAGCCGGACTTGATAATGAAAAGAAATGAGGATAAACTATTCCATTTCCTAACTAAAATGGTAAGTTCCAGCTAGAACAGACCAGTACAGAGTGAAATTTTTGAAATTGGTGGTGATGGCATTCCACCCTTTGTGGCCGAGTGATATCACTGATGAGGAGAAGTTATAGTATATCACTTCTGAGTCGGTGGACAATTAGCTCTTTTGAGAAGGTATCCTGGATGTTTCAGTGATGCTTGTTAGTATGCCAGGTTGAACAGCTTAAAACACAGTTGGGACATACTCATAGAGACACCTTCACCATTTGTTATCGGTACTCTAATCCAAGATGATCCATAAAGTATTTCTATAATTATGGGAAAGGTAATTTGTAGCAAAATTTCTCATACCACTCCCTTTTGCCTGAACAAAGTTAATGTATATGATTTTTTTCCAAGTTTATTGAATGTGTAATTATAAAATTAATTAAGAAGCTCTATTTAGTTCAAATGACTAAAGTGCCCTTTCTCAAATGAATAAGGTTAGGGGTGTAAACCACCTAGGATAAAAAAGGTTTTACATTTTATTTACATTATCTCCAAACAAAGGCTTGCATTAGACAGGACCCTGGTTCTTAGGCTTCTCATATTCACACCATTTGCATAACAAAAAAGAAGAAGTGGCACCAAAGTGCCACTAGCACAGCCTGACTAACTGCCACCACTAATATGTCCAGGGATCGACAAAACTTTTTAGATTATAAAGAAATGGGATGTCACTGAGTCTAAATATTATATTAAGCATTTATTCTCTAAAATAAAGAGGTTAATAACAGAATAAAACTCAATTGATTGTACAATGCTTTAGTACTTAATAGAATATGAAGTCCCCTCGTGCATATTTTGGGTTGAAGGTGAGAATATGTTTGTACTACTTGTGACATAAAATAAAAAATAAAAAAAGCTCCATCGTCAGTCACAGTAAAGGTTTTTTGATGCCTTCTCTTCCCCCAACCTACACAGCCATGCCCACACCTAAAAGAATTTCTTTAGAAGCATGACTACTTCTATTATCTACGACACATACAACAAATCTTATCCATAACTTCACCAAATCCTAACTGGGGCTTGAACCATGCACCTTTAAGGGGTGACATAAGACACCACTCAAGCTAGACAAGCACATGGATGCATGATTTCAGAAAGCATTTTTTTTTTTTTTGATAAATAAAAAGCATTTAATACCCTTTTTGAGTTTTCACGCTAAAAAGAAGTAAAATTACATTGTAAAGAAGCATACAAACACCACTGTAGACAACCCAGACATGGAAATCTTGAACATTAAGTAGCATTTTAGATTATCCATCTAGCCCTCACAAAACCAAATTTCCAACAATAGGAACTAAAAAAGGGATACAACACCATATATTTCATAAAACGCATCAAGCAATGAGTCATGAATTTTGATTCCAATAGCAATGATAGACACAAGATCAATCATCAAAACAAAAGCAATCATAGTTTGCTTGATTGAAATAGCATACATGCCAAATGAAGAAACCAACAATATAATTTAGAGGAAACTATATTTATTTTGCCTATACCTGTGAACTTATGGAGTTCAACAAGGACGTCTCCTTTAGCATTAGATCTTTTATCTCCAACAAAGCATTAAATGTAGCATAGTATTTACGAGTTTGTTGAAGCTTTCCCTAATATCAGTAGAGAGTACGGTTTAGTGAAGCTTGCAACAGACTGAAAATATAAACAAAGGGAAATTAACAACAGAAGCATTTGTTGACCTGTATATTAGAATTAAGATCTGAAAAACCGCGTTCATACCTACAAAAAGAGATTTAGTTAGAAGTCAAATATATATTAAAGAATCAAGTAGGCAAAACTGCCTAAGTTTTAAAAGAAAATTTATTGTACCAAGACTAGATAAAAATCTAGGGAAAATTTTCTGTCATCGGACAGTATGTTACCGGAATATGATAATTTTCTGTCATAGGAAGGTATATTACCTCGTGTATGAAATTATGGCACCTTACGTGGAGAAAGGATCATTACACAACAACATACACAACTAAAAAGAAATTCCAGAACTATGTTAGAAGGATCATTATAGGAAGTTAAATCCACCAATTAGTCATACGATGAAGTACATTTTCATTCACATTGTATCTAAGTACTTTCATGAAGTACAATGAAGGCAGATTCAACAAAATACCAATGGCTTATCCATTTTTATAAGAACTAATGGCACCCTTCTCCGTAAGTGAGTTCCTTTAGTGCTCTTAAAACCTTTAGTTTATTTTACTGACAAGGCTAAGAAGTGAGGAAGTCCTTACCACAGATGACATGATAGAGTAAGAAGACCCAGAAAGTGATTCTATTCTCACGTGCGGTATCAACTTAAGAACAAAGTGAGTTCTAGATTAATTGTCTCGATGTATTACTGAAGAAGGGACATCAAAAGTACTTGAAGATGGGATCAGCATTACCAATGCCAAAGACATCAAAGGAAGCTTGATTTTCCAGTAAGCATTAGAACATGCAAGGGAATGACTATAGAAGACCAAGGAAGCCAAAACAGCTTGGCACATAATACAATCAACAACAAAGGAGAATCAGCACTTTTTCTTTTCCTAGTTATCAGCACTTTGGTTTTACACTTCCTATGTTAATTGTACATTTTTGTTTAAATCGGGATTTGCAATCCAATTCTAAGTTTTGTTTTTGCGATAACATTAAGAAATACTTGATGAATGTAAGCCCCACAGCACAATGTGGTTGATATTTGTGAATAAAAATTGAATCCATTAGTTATATAGCATGCTGGGGGAAAATTTTGAGGTCACTTAACAAATATATGAGAATTCATGTCAATCATCATACTGCTAACACGGAGAGGAACATTTGACAGAATGAAACCAATTTATGCTTTAAAAGAAAGAAAGGCACAAGCTTTAAAGGGCAAACTAAGATTCACAACCCACATCAGCTAAGTTGCAAGTTTGATTAAGTTAAAGGACACACAATTGCAAACCCCATCTGTTTTTGCTGGAAAGTAAGTTTATTTAGTTGAAGACAGCACAGAGACTTTTGTATAGAAAACATCCTAAATGATCCCCTCAGTGATAGAACTCTAATGGTGGTTAGGGATGTCAACGTGGCGGGTTCGGAATGGGGCACCCCTTTCCCAAACCCGTCCCACTAATGAAAATCTTTTCCCAAACATAGTTCGGGGTGCCCCACATCGGAGTCGGGGCGGGTTTAGGATGCTCCAATATAAATATTTTTTAGGAAAAACAATTCAAATTTGAACAAATTTAAAAAAAAAATTAGTATAGTCAAATATTTAACTATCATAATCATAAAAATGTTGTTAGAATTTAAAATTATCATGAGAAATAAAGAAAAAAGAAAAATTATAGCTAATAAAAGAATATTTATTTATATATTAATTATTAATCGGGGCGGGTTCGGGGCTTGGTGGGTTTTAAACTCTCTTCCCAAACCCGCACCTAACCCTATTAGGATGATCCCAAATCCGTCCCAATAAAGGCACGACAAGATGGGGTGGGTTAAATTGACATCCCTAATGGTGGTGGAATCACATTACCTGTAAACTCAAATTCTTGAACAAAAGTAACTAATCCCGAATTGGTCTAGCTTCTAAACTAGCAGTTAAAAACATCGGAAAAGTCATTTAATATTTTGTTGGTACGGATTCAGACAAAGTAGAAGGCGGCTATATTGTCAGCAAGAAAAAGAATTCCTTTTTTTTTTTTCCAATTTTCTTGTTTAGTTCTCACAATCCCGCAGTTTTTTTATAGAAGTTGATCCAGAAAATGCTCTTGCACAACAGTGAAAAAAGATGAACATCAAATGCACAAGCTTAAACTGAGGCTAAAAATCTTTCATAGCAGAAGCAAAAAAAGTTTGTTAAGTTTATGGAAGTTTGTAGACGTTTACAAGCTACATGCATACCATCAAATAAACTATTTCAGATCACAAGAGATTTACTTTTATTAAGTTCACATAAACCAAAGTGGAATATTTGTGGAAGTTTTGAATCATCCATAAATTTGAACCATGATGGCAAAAGATGATTAAATTTATGGAATATGTGTTCTCTCAGTCGAATTGATTATGCCACCTAAAGAATGCTCCAGATGACAAAGAATAACAGAGGACAGAGATTCAAGATATCATTGAACACCAAAAATACGGAAAATTTCTTTACTATTCCATAATAATAACAATATTTATTCAGAGAAGGTGAAAACTGTGAAGAAGGCATGAAAAAATCATTTATCATCATCATCCTTGCCTTGATCCCATACGAATGGAGTCAGCCACATTAATTTTATTTTTATTATTTTCTATGGCAACTCATCTCTCTTATAAGATTTAGATTTTTAAAATTATTTATAATAAAATCATCACATGTTAATTTTGGTCACCCTAGGGTCTTAGATTTTGGGAATTTGAAAGATTTGATGCTCCCCGGTACACAACAGCATCAGACAAATATATGTAAATCCATGTAAAATAGCACTCAGCATAGATGATGCACTTGCATCTTGCTTGTTGTCTACATTAAATGTAGAATTGATATAATCGATTTTGGTTGCTTCAAAAGTGGAACTAGTTCCTTTTAACTGAACTTTATTTTGGTAAGTGCATTTATTATTATAAACAAAAAGCTAAAGTGGAAAGGAGGGCAAAGAAGAGTGACAAACTGGATGAGTTCTGCTTGTGATGGCACTTCATCAAGCTTCCGCTTCAGCAATACAATTGCCCTTAATTTAGTTGCAAGTTCCTACCCAAAAAATAAAAAATCAAAGAAAAAAAAAGAATATCATTTAAATTGCTTGAGACCTTGAGTGAAAAGCTTTGTCTGTTTCATTTACTCATCAACATTGAAAATTGAAATCACCATAAACACAATGAATTTCTCTCTACAAAATAAGTCTTACCTACTCATGAAATACATATATGAGAAACCGCATTAATGGTTATCATTATTTATTAGAAAATGAACAATGCATTATATATTATGATGTATTAAATTATTCAAAGACATGTGATAATAGCCCAGGGAACTATCGCTATTGTCCACTCTCGCCTCCATATGGATAAGCCTGTAAGGCATCAAAGACTCCAGGAATTTCTCTCTACAAAATAAGTCTCGAGGACACATCAAAAACAACTTGGGAAGTGCCGTGGCATCAGAAGCATGCATCATGAGTCACCTAAATAATCTGAATTGGGATCAGAGACAAGAAAGCAGACACTGTTAAGTTGGACGTCGTGACTTACCTCTTAAGTAATGGTCTTATGGATCCTTGGGGATATCTGTCAGGTGGCTAAAATTTTTTTAAAAAGCCTCCACTCGAGAGATGCCCAAAACTTGACCATGCTTGAAGGAAGGGAGAAACCAGTGATTCCTCAGTACCTCATTAAACTTGAGGTCGCTTGCTTGTACCTCTTATAACATTATTTTCCACCCATATCATGCCCAGTCGCATTAAATGCTCAACATAACACATTAGAGCAACACCTTATTGTATTTAGTGCACCAAAATGCCTTATCAATTAGCCTCCTTATGTAACGATCCACTCCACCACATGGTATGATATTGTCCACTTTGGATCTGAGCCCGCTCGGTTTTACTCTTAGGCTTTACCCAAAAGGCTTCATACCAATTGGAGTGGCACACCAACATATAAGCACTTCACATTTCCCTTACCCAAGCGATGTGGGATTGTGCACCTGTAACTCGTCAGTGTGGTAGCCTACCAGTGTCACGCACCCGCCCATGGCACACCCGCCCACAAGGTCATCACAATCGACCCCCCTTGGAGGCCCGACGTCCCCGTCGGCATACTTCCGGCTGGGTCAAGTTCTGATACCATTTGTAACGACCCACTCCGCCACATGGTATGATATTGTCCGCTTTGGGCCTGAGCCCACACGATTTTGCTCTTGGGCTTTACCCCAAAAGGCTTCATACCAATTGGAGTGACACATATACAAATAAGCACTTCACATTTTCCTTACCCAGACGATGTGGGATTGTGATGACCCTGTGGGCAGGTGTGCCGTGGGCAGGTGTGAGACACTGTCAGGCTACCACACTGGCGAGCTACGGGTGCACAATCCCACATCGTCTAGGTAAGGGAAAGGTGAAGTGCTTATATGTAGGTGTGTTACTCCAATTGGTATGACGCCTTTTGAGGTAAAGCCCAAGAGCAAAACCGTGCGGGTTCAAGCCCAATGCGGACAATATCACCATGTGATGGAATGAGTCGTTACACCTTAACCCTACATATAACCACACTTAGGCCTAATACATTTCTCCACAAGCCGCCTCAAAGGCCAAGTGGCTCATCCCAATGGTCAACAAAAAGAGGACATGGATTATGGCCTCTCCCTTTCTATGCAATAGTTTAAAAGAGTTATTATTTAGTGTGGGTCACCTAATCGAGGGTGGGTATGGGCAGAGTGGATACGAACCTAACCTTTGGTATTATTTGAATGAATCGGCATTCTTATGCTTAATAGTCCAAGAATTAACCACCACCTAAGCAATGGTCCCTTTACACTGTTGGAAGATATATATTTTTGGACAGGTTGATTGCAGTAAATTATGATAGATTGATTGCTTTAAATAAGGAATAGACTGTAGGAAGATTTTTTATTCTTTTCCTTGTACAGCTTTCCCTCTTTCCTATATATACTTGTACAAGATGTTAATATAAAAAAAGAGAATATTTACAAAGAGAAAACTTCCACATACACAACAACTACTAACCAGATAATCCCCCTACTCTTATAGCTTTACACATGCATTTAAGCACACAGAATTAACCCCACTTAATGAGAACAACCCTCATTATTTAGGGTTCTAATAAGGTCATAGGGATGTAACATGAAGGGCTTTAGAAAGAGAGAGAGAGAGAGAGGGGGGGGGGGGGGGGGGGGGGGCGAACGATGAAATGGATGTGATGCAAGACGAGAAAGGATAAAATTAGAAATAAAACACATTTGTGGATGGTTGAGGTAGCATCCATTGGCGATGAAAAGAGATAAAATCAATTAAGATGGTTTGAATATGTGATAAATAGACCAGAGCAGGGTAATGCTAGAGGAAGGGGAAGAAAAAATTAATATGGGTAGAGTTAATAAAAAAAGATATGATATCATGTGGTTTGAAGATAAAGCAGAATAGAAAAATAGGATTCATGCAACCGAAAGCTTCGTTGAGTTGTAGACCTTGAGATTTCTATGGACTGATAAGTCCTAATCCTTGCCACTGTAATATTTTGACCAAACCCCATCCCTATCCTCAAGGAATGGCCAGACTTTACCTACTATTGCCATCTTTTATCTATTTCCTTTGGGCTTTCCTAGGTTTCCACCTGGCTTAATCCACAGGAATGGCCAGACTTTACCTACTATTGCCATCTTTTATCTATTTCCTTTGGGCTCTCATAGGTTTCCACCTGGCATAATCCACCTAAGACCTTTGATATATCTCAAATAACACTTCAGCGCATGTCATCACTTTGAACCCACACCAAAAAAGTATATGCTGTCTGCGTATTACATTTTTGATTGGGAAACAATTAAAACATAAAGCAAAATCAGGTAACTCTTCAGAGATTTTACTTGAGATATCATGCAGATAAAGGTCGAGCTCTACTACAAGAGTTTGAAAAGATGAAATAAAGCGGTACCACATGGAGAATGAAGAGTTTCAGATGCTCAAGGTATCATGATGTTGAATAGTTGACATGACATGCACAACAAGATATTGTGTGCAAATTACTGACAGAGTGACCTCCCCGTCAAAAGACTTGAAGCATGTCAACAAGATATTGCCTAATTTTCTACCTAGGTTAGTCCACCACGGACTTTGATATATCCTGAGTAACACCTCTGTACATATCATCCCTTTGAACCCAAACTTGCTAAGTATATGTGGGCTGCTTATTACGCTTATGATTCATTGACAATGAAAACATAAAAGGGAAATGTGGTAACTCTTAAGATATTTCACTTAAGATATCATGAGAAATGAAGGTCATCATTTACTACACGGTTTGGAAAAGATACACTGAAGTGGTATAATACTGGAGAATGGAGAGTTGCAGAAAGGTATCATGATGTTGTCGTATGGTTGAGATTGACATTCGCAACAAGATATTGTGTTCAAATTACTAACAGAGTATTGTTCCAGTCAAAAAGGCTTGAATATGTAGAAACAAGGTAAGCAGTAGGAAATAATGTCAACAAAAGGAGTAACATTTCATACCAAAATCCACAAGAAATTACAAACATTTTTTGAGAACTATCGGAAAAACTTCCATTTGGAAAAACTGCTAATCAATTTAACTGTTTTTACCAGCCAATTTAAAGATGTTAAAATGTGAAGGCAAAGAAATCATAAAACGTAATGCTAATCAATCATTCTTCATACGATCAGAATACACAACTAACAACTCTATAGCAAACAAAACAATCCAATTGTGCTTTCTATTCAATAATTAAGTAAAGGCTAGCAATAGAATCTCACCCTCTTTGCTGAATTAAGTCTCTCAAGGGAATCATGTAAAGAATGACAAAAACCATTAGAGAGGGTTTTGTCATCGTTTTCATTCGATATTAGTTCCTCCAGTTCACTGATCTCTGCTTGCAATTTAGATCTATTTGCATCACAATGGGACTGAAAATCAGATTCTTGTTTCTCCAGTGCCTGAACAAACCTAAAAGTAGTGAGTCAGCCATTATATGTGACAAAACAGCTGAAAAAGAAAAGATGCTAGTAAAAACAGAGAAAAAATTATGCTTCATCTAAAAACATGGCACATGATAAAATGGAAACACTTATCAGAACTTGTGTTTCCAACCCCAAAGAAGGTAAGGGTATGGTATTAGTCATTGTTATCATTACAATCATTAGCAAATGTAACCAAAGTGCCTCAGCACTAGAAAACGAAAGAAAGCTAACTTAAGCCAACCAAAGTTGGTCGTGTCCACGTGATGGAATTTACCTGCATGGTATATAGCAAGCTGACACCCTACAATTAGGCTACTATGATGATGTGGGATAACATTCAATAGCTGAAATTGTAAGAAATACCTATGTAATACTTTGCCAAAGCCCCTGCATCATAGTGATGAATGCATGAATCTAAAAAAGGAAGGAGTGATGAGCGCTGAAAAGTGCGTATTTAAACCCCTTAAGCTTAGGTATTCTAAAACCTTTATCTATCTTATTTTACCGTTTTGTATTGATTTCGTGTTATTTCCATTTTCAGGTACTTATCCCCAAAGTAAGCTAACTCAGCCAAATAAGAGCATAATTGAAGCAATTCTGGGATGATTCAAAGAAAGGAGCAAAGTAGAGCAAAAAGAAGCAAAGGGTGGAATTTCAACAACTTCGATCGATCTCAAGAAAAGTTCGATCGATCCAACTTTCATCGATCTCAGCACTTCAAGATGGATCTGAGCCATGTTTGGCCCTGTTCAAAGATCTCAAAAGTTCGATCGATCCAACTTCCTTCTCCGATCGATCGAACATTCTTGTCCTCATCCAAATGATTGATCTTATCCAGTTGTACCACGCTACCAACCACTTTTGTCCTTTTCCCAAAAATATCTTCAAAATATCTCAGATTTGTTTTTATTCAAAAAGGCACCGCCATTGAGGATCGATCCAACTTCAGTTCGATAAATCTCAGCCATGTTCAATCAATCCAAGTCCAAGGTTCGATCGATCGAACTTCCTCCAGTGCAAAAAAGTTAAATTTCCAGCTCACAAAAGTTGTCCTTTATCCAATCATTGGCGAATATTTGCTGTACGACCCCAGCTTATTTTGGGTGTCATTTGACCTACCTATATAAGGATAAGGATTACTTTTTGTATCATATCATATTATAACACATCATATCATATCATACCTTAGAGAACTCTTAGGGAGGAAGCAAAGAAGAGGAGGAGGCTAGAGACACCATTGGAGACTCTTCATCAACCAAGGAGCAGATTTCTTCCATGGAGCTTACCCTTGAGGGTTGGAGGACATCATCCATGAGTGGCTAGACATCCTCTTAGGGCTAGAGTTAGCCCTAAGCATGCTTTTTACTTCTTGATTTATGTATTTTTGAGGGGATTTGTATTATGATTCATGTCTTGACACTTTTATATATATAAGTCTTGTTTATTCAATGATTTATGTGGTTTAATATTTCCAATTGATCATTTCATTCGATCCATATGTTTATGTATGCTAGAATAGATATTCATGTATTTGTCTCTATTTCTTGTGTTATTGATGCATGTCTATGTGTATTGATGCTATAGATCTAGAGATTGTCAAGACATAGTGCTTAATGTCATGTTCTTGTGATTTATTTGATGGTTCATACTCATTTCTTGATGGATTGTATCTCTCCCTCAGTTTAATTAGTTTAATTTCATGTCATTAGCTTAGTTGTAGAGTAGTTGTTAAATGGGAAGACAATTCATGCTTGTTGTTGATGTTCCATACTTATGAAAAGCAAGTAACATATATCTCTAACTTGTGATGTATTTGGTTGTGAGCTTAAAGAAAGGATTAATGGCTTAATTTGATATGTTGTGCTATTCACCATGTTGTCTAGACAATATATACTTAATTTGTCATCCATGCTTAATGAAACAACCACACACACACTCTATATTGCAATACATATTCTTCCCCTCATTAATCATTCATTAAAGGTGTAGAAAAGCTATGCTTAGTGGTGATCTCTAAACCCCAAGATCTCTTTATCTTTTATTCTCTCTATTGCATTATTGCTTACTTTAATTTAATTTGCATCTAGTTTAATTCAACCAACCAACCACTATTTGATCACTCGACCTACTAACCCTAATTTTGATTCCTCAACCTTACGACACTCAATCCCTTGGGACGATCCCTACTCACCCTAGCTATATTTTTAGTGAAAGGTAGTAGTGGCAATTTCTAAATGTAAAACTTGGCCACATTGCATAAACTTTGGGTTTGAATTGACGACAACACCAAGGAGTTAGGTTAAAAGTTTATTTCTTATCGTCATAAAAAACAAATAAATAAAAATTTCAGCGTCAAGAAATCCAATTATTGGAAAGATTGTCAATAATTTATTTCCTTGATAATGTATGCAACTAAGTGGCATTACTTATGTTACCATTAGAAACATTTTTCATCAGTCGAAGAAAATTGAATAAAATAGACAAAGTTAATGCATATCCTAACAGCCTAGTAGTTACTGAACATGATGGATTGCTGGCATCCAGAAGAGTAACAGCGGAGCAAACAGCTGCCTACCAGAATGAAACTCAGGACACAAACGTCATCTTCCTGATTGGATATCTTTCAAGGATTTAGTGTAACAAAAGGACATATCGGACTCTAAAAATTACAAAAATTGTAAAAAGAAACCCCTTGAACTTTCCAGATTTCAAAAGGACTTTCCCTCCCCTGCGAACTATTAATTTGGCAATTGACCCCCATTACTTTTGTAAAAATCTGCAGGCTACACCCTGCCTTATTTTCCGTTAAAAAATGGATAGGGGCCCATTTTGGGGACTCAAATAGGAAAAATGAGCAGAATTATTTCAACAGTACATCCTCGGATATTAACTTAATTTCAGACCTTTTTTATTTCAAAATCATCTTTCTAAGTCAATTTTTTCATTTCTGTTTCACAAGGACAGTTATGTAATTCTATTACTACGCTGCAGCAAAAGCACATAAAAGGGTTATTTGAAAATCTTTTATAATTCAAAGGAGTTTTTCAAGTTCAGGAGGGTTAATTGCATCACTTTTTTATTTCCTTTTTTCTTTTTTCTTTTTTTTTTTTTTTGCATTTTTCACTTTAAAATTATTTAAATTTACTGTTTTTAGCATCACATGAATAATCGAGAGATCCTTCCCTTTAACTTAGGCTTCAACCAAAAAAAGTTACAGTTTCTTACCAAATATAGAAGATTATGGTATATAACTAAAAAAATGTCTTTAAAAAATGAAATCCATATGATGGCCATTTCCACTTCCTACTTCTATATTATCGTATACTTGGTTTTAACAAAAATTTTGATTTCTCCAGATGTTTCATTTTTTATTTTATTTTTTTATATCAGCTCCATTTTATGTCTTATCATGTTAGTCAATGTGTCTTACCAATCAAAAGTCAATCCCAGAAGTATAAACAGATCATCAGTCAACTTGTGAAGAATAACAAAAGTAAAATATGCTACTATGCAAAGCTTCTATGATCTTTTTTTTTCACTGGCAAGAAACTCACGGGACTTAAACCCTTACCATCCACTTTGGGAGGTAGAGGAGATACCACTAGGCCACAAATGACAAGGCCCTTGGTAAGCTTCTATGATCTTAAGTACTTGGTAAGCTTCTAATATCTTAAGCATTCTTCTCTTTTGCTTTCAATACAGTCAACATTTTTGCAACCCTTATTAGTGGTACATTGCACATAAGAAAACATCATAGTCATTTTCCAATGGTCGCATGCAACATGATGCAAGCATGGGTATAATCCATGTCTATATATATCAGAAGCTTCAAAAATGAAATCAAATAACCTTCATGGACTCCGACAGTGATAACAATTTCTGCACCATAGTATTAGCACCCTTCTTATTGATTGTCCCTTGTAGATAATGCGTCCCATTAAAAGCATTAGCCTTTCTTTGATTCTGGAAAAGAGCACAGACAAGAATTTTATATCAAGCCAAAAATGAGCCTGTAATATGAACCAATCTACGCAAGTTAAGCTCACGATTGGCTCAGTTAGAGGCTCGTAAGATAATTAGCGAAGCTCGATCATAATTGAAGTTCGTTAATTTATTGAGCTCAACTCAATAAGTACTACCACTATGTAATTATGCAAAAGAACCAAGCAACTTCAGCTCCTTTATATCCATAGCTGAAAACAATTACATCAACTTCATGGACTAAGGAATGGGAGAATGAAAGAAAAATATTGCCATCACCTTTGCCCTAAAAAATTCGATTTCAACAGAAAAGTCAAGAAATCATTTTTTTTTCCCAAAATTTATAGGCGCCTTTTTGTTGCACTTTTCTGGGGTATTATGCTTTAGAATGTCCTAAAATGAGGCAAATAAACACTGTCTACAAATGCAATATTTGGTACTTGGAAAAGAATAAAAGGTGATTAATATATGCTTCATTGAGTAGTAGATGATGAAGAATGGTTTCAGTAACTGACCAGTTCTTCAAGATTGGCATTCAGAATAATTATTGAACTTTCTACATCCTGCAACTCCTTCTCAAGCTGCAAAAGTGTATGCTCCTCCTCTTCAATGGAATGTTCATTATAAGTAACCTATACTTTCCATAGATGAAAGATAGCATTGTGTTAGAAAAATGAAAGGAGAAGTAATTATAAATCAATCACATTGTAGAGACATTAATCATTGCTAGGTTAGGTGCAGTCTCAATTCAAAATTAAACGAGGTTAGTTTCTCATTTTCAACCAAGAATAGACCAAGTGCATGCAGAACTAAACCAAACCAACCAAGAGAATATGAATAATTTTTGGATTAGTTTTAGATTATAGGTTTAACACAAACTTGCTACCGAACAGTAATGACCTGCCCTAATCAGAGAAGAAGAAATTCTCTACTGCAAATAATTAACTTAAAAGAAGTAATATTGAAGAAACTGCAAGCACCACATCTTTATAGGGAAAAAAGGACCCTCCAACATGAACAAGACAAAAGCCAAGCCAACGTTAGTTCCCAGTTTCTCAACTTAATACCTGATCTAAGTGTATGTAGAACCAAACCAAAGTTACCTAAGTTAGACAATTCTGTGTTGAACCAAACCAAGTTGCACCACTTAGAGAAACTATATAATGACATTGCATGATCAAAAAGAATGGAAAAGGTGTCAGTCAATTATATAAATTAACATAGTATGAAAACAGGAGCGAGGAATAAAATTTAGGAAAATTATTATGTACATGGGTGATGAGTCTCGCGATATTGATTCATTAGAACAACATGTACACAAACCTGAACCTTTTTTCTTAATTTATGTGGAACTCAGTAATTTTGATAATTAAAAATGGATAGTGGTGTCTGTCCTGGTATGCAAATATATGACTAACACTGAAGTGCTATTTCATATGTGATATGGTCAGGTAATACAGCCATAAGCAGTGTTATCAAAGGCCTAAGGCGCTAGAGGTCCTCTGGAGCCAAGGCGCAAGGCGTGGTGCACGCCTGAGTGAAGTAAGTCGCACAATGGAAAAAATAAATTACTATTAAAAAATTCAAATTCCATATTAAAGGCGCAAATATTATCAAAGGCGCACCTGGGCACACATCATGGGTTCATGGTTTTGGGTCATCATCATTGTACGAAACTTATGGGAAGAGGCATCTTGCCGTACTTCAGTGTACTATAAATTAAGATGAAATTGACCGCAAGGGTATGAATGGACAAAGATAACCAAACTAACTATTGAGGTGACAGCCATCATAAATTATGACATGTGGGATACCTTTTGTTACGACAAACACAGCAAACCAACGACAAATCACGAATCAAGACAGAAAAATAAACACGCCACATAGAAAGAACATAAAGATTTAACGTGGTTTGACACAAGTTGTGTCTACATCCACGGTGAAGATCCGGCGAAAGGTTTCACTATGCGAAAATCAAAAGATTACAAGTTTCAGCCCCCAAACCTTAGCTCTTGCTCTCACTCTCTTTTCTGCAATTTTTAGTCTCTCTCAATATTCCACTCCAAATCCTAAACGCCCTTATATATCGGGCTACAAGAGAGTACTAAACAGGGTCCATGACCTGCAATCAAAAAACGGGTCAAAAAATTCAATCATTAGGTCATCGGGCGGAAACCAGATCTCAACGCGACCTTGAACCAAATTTGGGCCACAACATCACACCTTCCATCTATGTTTGCATGTCAGACTCTATTTAACATAAACACTTCAGTTCAACAGCAGTTTGGACTTTGGACGCTAACTCAAACCTTTAAACAAGATATATCACCTTGGGACAATCAAAAGTTATCATAGTCAGTAAAAAATTTATTGTTGAATCCGACCTTTAAGATTCATAACACTTCCCTTTTAAAATGATTGAAAATCCACCTAATTTTCATAATATTGTTTTTTCACCACAAACAGTGATTTCTGATAAGTGGTAACCTCTAGCCTTACCTTGATGAAAGGTTTTAAATTCCAACTATTTAGCATTGTCAAAGCATTCACATGGATAAGGAGTTGTGGTTTAACCTTCAAATTCAACGATCTTCTATCCAAACAAATGAGGGGGAAAAAATAAAAATAAAAATTTAAAAAAAAAAGAAGGAAAAAAAAAAAAAAAAAAAACCCTTCTAGGTCAGATTTCTTCTTTGCTTGATTTCTTGACTATTGATCCTATCTTATCCGGTTCTCAATCAATTTAGACATTATTAAAGAATTGTTAATTTTTTCCGATGTAAACATCTGCCTTGATTTTCAAAATCTTTAAAAAACAATTGAAATTCATAGTTTCTTGCTCAACAATTGAAAAGAAAATGCCAAACATGTCATAATCCGAATCCCAAACTCAAACTTGATATCAATAGCTTCGTCAAAAATCAACCAGTCCTAATCAACTTTTCGAACCTTAATCCAACTAACTGAGATCAGTTGTATAGATTCATTATCTCTGGATGGCTCTTTGTGAAGTCGCATACTCAGTTAAATCCAAGGTAATAACATCTTCCTCCACGGTTTCTTTTTTTCCCTTCCTCTCCTCCTTTTGAGACCTTCAACTTGGATCAAACACTTCCCCATGAGTGTGTTAGGCGGTCAACTCTGCACATGGTGAAATCACTGAGTTGTGCAAAATCAACAACCAACCCGAGCCTAACCTGAGCTTAACCGAATTTTGAAAAATATGTCCGGGCTTGGGTTAAAGATTTTATACTTTGGCTTGAGCTCGAATTGATCCCTCAACTCACCGAACCAGCCCCAGTTGAGAATCAGGTGCCCTACGAGAAAGCATACCGGACTTGGCCAAACGAGTTATATAGCTACATGCATGATGGAAGATTGACATCCGTTGCGCGTATTTCTGCTGATATGCTTTCTAAGCAGGCTCGGAATATTTTGTCATTGTTGCTTACCCTAATAATACCTTTAAACTTCAATGTATATCCCCCCCAAAAATAAAAATTTAACTACATGTTAACTCCTTGTCTGGTCTCATCAATTAAAACTATATTGTTAGCAAACAACATGTATCAGATTGTTTAGATTGGAAGGAAGTGAAAGAGATAGAAGCATAAGCTTTTGTCCCTCATTTGGAAGTCTTAAAAGGAAAAACAGAAGAAATGGAGGACCGATGATCATGCCTTGGTCCCAATTTTATCTTCTCAAAAATGAGTAGGAATAGATGGAAGAGAAGATGAATTAATGATTACCCATTTTGCCGAAGTATTCATATGAAATTATTTTTCCATTTTAACATTATTGTCAGTAAAATAAAAATACCATTTTTCCTCTCCTTACACAAACTCCCAAACAAAGGAAAGAGAAATCACCTCCCTTCCTTTCGTTTTTTTCTGTTAAACAAAGAAACACTATCCTTTTCTTCCGTCTCTCTCTCTCTAAAAAACTCCAGATTGAACTGGGCAACACCTTCCTATTTGTGCCAAGAAAAATCAATGCATATCATTAAAATAAGAATATTGTCATTGTAAATCCAATTGTGTATTCCTTGGACTGTTCACAAGCTCGTTACAATTACTTCCACTAATTCCTATTTACAGATAAAAAGATACTATCCGATGTCTAAAGGTTTTTTTCCTGGAATGTCTAAAGTTAGCAAATAGTAAATCAGTTCAAACAAGAATTATATGTGCATGTGTCTGAGCCTGTGAGTGTAATATACATACATGATACACCTATATTACTTTGTCATTTATATGAATATGTATGGATAGAGAATTCGAAATATGGAGACAGAGTGTCTGTTACCTCCATTTTGTCTTGGAAATTCCAGGAAAATGACGTCGTGTACGCGTCCTCTAGCTTTGACGAGAGTACAGACCGCCGGCGAGTTAATCGGTGACCGAAGAGGGCCTCGGAGACGACAAAGTTGGCCGATTAGGAAAGATCTTGAATACTAGGTTCGGAAACTATTTCGGTTACAGAATTTGATAACCCAGCTTAATAAACTCAACTTCAATCCAATTTAATCCATTTTCATTGACATGTAAAAAAAAAATTTGCAATCCACTTTTATTGACATTTATTTATTTTAAATAAAGTGACTTCACTCATGAAAGCTAAAATTCAAATTCAAATATTAATCCCCTTTTCCTTTTACGAATAACTCAAATTAGTTTTTCTATTTAAAAAGTTAAAGCAAAATTTTTTTTTTCTCATAATTACTCTTTAAATTTTTAAAAATGTCACAACTTGGAAATATACGCATTTAAACATAAAATGATAACTTAATAATTTTAGAGAATACAATACATTTATTGCACCTTTACCTAAATATTTATATAATATTAAAGAAAACATCTAATATGATTATATATATATATATATATAATTTTAATTTACAAATAAACATAAAATGATAACTTAATAATTTTAGAGAGTACAATACATTAATTGCACGTACACTTAAAACACTTACATAATATTAAAGATAACATCTAATATGAAACAGATGATTATATATATATAATTTCAATTTACAAATTTTGTGCTCTTAATTTTTTTTTCCAAACTTAATTTACTTATTTTTCAGTATGAAATGTGTCGTATAATAATAATAAAAACTTTGTATTGTCCTTGTGAAATGATAAATTGATCAAATTGTCCGTGTTAAACAAATCTAAGTCGAACAAAAAAGAAAAGGCCAACCCAGAGCTTCATTGGAGGTCCTAAACCATTTTTTGTTAAGTTGCTAGAGCAACTTATTACTTGAAATGCTTCATATACGGTTCTGAAAAAAAAATTAAAAAATTAAAATTAAAAAATAAAATAAAACCTCTCATTTATCCGATAAAACAAAAAAAATTATGTTCTCAGTAAATTTTTTTTTTTTTTTGATAAAACAAAAAAAATTTACATGAGTCAATTTTCCGATGACAAGAGTTGGAAATAAAAAATAAAAAATACTGTGTCCGAGGCAATGCAATAGGATTTGAACTCTCTTCTCCCAATACCATTTTGATGCACTATAAATTGCAGTCCCCAAGCTTGCTATGAAGACTGCTTTGCAGTTACTGCTGCTACAATGACCAAATTATTAGTCTAAAGAGCCTCATGCTCAGGTCACATTCATGCCATCCACCTTTAGCATAAACCATGAGAACTACAAATACTGTGATTGGAACTACAAATGTTGTAATCACAATGGTACCGGTATTCATACACCCTGCAACATTTGCTGCTCGACTTTCGCTACCATGAATCGAAAAACGCAACAGAGAACTTGCTGCTTGACCTAGGGCCTTGTGCCCTAGTGCTTCTCCTCTACCCCGAAGTGAATGTGAGGGTTCGAGTCCCCAAAAAGATAAAATAAGTGTGTGAATTGTGTGTGTGTGTGTGTGTCTGTCTTGTCAATTGAAAAAAAATACCTTGTTGCTTGAACCATGATGCATATATAGGAACACCGTCATTTGTCTGCAACCTGAACTTGTGCACACACTTACTAAAGCCAATGCAAGGGTCAAAATGCTAGTACTTCCGCATTTGGAAAACCAACTCCGTTTCCTCGAGTTGGCTATTGTTCAAGAAAGTGTATAACATGGAGGTGCATTTTGAACTGAATTTTGAAAATTGGGCATGCAAAGATCTCATAAAGTGGCTGAACCCCCATGGTTTATGTTCCAAGGGTCTGTAATCAAACAAGGCTATAACACGCAAGAGACGGCTAAGGCACAAGGTAGAGAGAAGCACATCTCTCATTCAAGCCACAAATCAAAATTTGGCATGAGAGATGACAAGATAAACAGAAAATATATATTATAAGTATGAAACAAAATAAAATTAAATAAAATATGAAACAAAATACCTTTTACTAGCCTTAAAAAAGAAATTTGTCAATTAAATTGCTAGAGAGAGTGAGTCGTGTGTTGCAAATTCCTATGCAAAACTAGGGTTGTAAGATTGAACAAAATACCTCGAGACCATTTGTCTATAATTGGAAAGCATGATGAAGATGAAACACAACGAAAAACACGCCGAAAGGTTGAAGGTAAGATGAGAATCTAGGTTAGATTTACTGAATTAGTTAGACGGGCTTCAAATGACCTAGGTTTGATCAATAAAAGGCTTGAATACGTATGGAGGCTCAATCTATTGAACCTTGTGATGGATTGAACTGTTTGTACGCTCAGAGCCTAGGGTGACGGTCTACTTCTTCAGGGATTAGCATCAAAGGAAAGAAAAAGCCCTTTTAGAGGTGAGAACTATATATTATACTTGTCCCTAGGGACCAAATAAAGGCCTAATAGAGGACTAAAACAAAGAAGAATTAACTATCTAAAATGGATATAACTGAAAAATGCCTGTTGTATTGAGTAGTATCACGGACAGTCCTTGAAGATATAATCAGAACTTTCATGTTAACAGATAAACAGTAGTAGCAGTGACTGTGATAATACAGGTTAGTTTCTTAGATCTGTGGTTACATGGAGAAGGCGCAGTGAAAAGGTACAAGGAATACAAAAAGGATTACTCTGACAGGACATGAAAATTCTCACTTCCAGAGCTTAACAATCTTGTCATGGCTGGCAGAGGCAACCAAACCTGTCACAGTTGATGCAGCCAAACCAGATATCAGTCCCTCGTGCGCTGCAAGGCTCATTGTCTTGTTCTCGGTCATGTTCCAGAGCTCCAGGTACTGTACCAGATAGCAAGGTGCATCAGAAATGGGAACCCATGTAAGTTTATGATATAGAAGGTACTAAATCGGGCATTGGTACATTTCTAGCATATCATAATTTTTAAACATACGACAAAATTTGAAGTAGCTAATGACAGAAATAAGTTCGAAGTAATGCTTTTCAGTTTCTCCCAGCAGGGTAAGAAAATAAATGTCCAGATTGTGAAATGGAGATAAATGCAGATTAAAGTCCATGTTTAACTTACACCAGCTACGTGATAATAATGGAATGTTATGTACAGAAACCAATATCAAGTAGATTAATTTCCCAACTTAAAATACTAAGAAAAAAAGGAAAATGGATTTTTAGCAATGAGAGTGTAAAGCAGAGGTGACTTGCCTGGTAACAGCCAAGGAGCAGAAGTGAAGAATATGTAGGATGAAAAACACACGAGTGGAATTTGTTGCCATTACTACTTAACTCATGGACACACTCCCCTTCTCTTCCTGATCTGAGTGTCCATACTCTAACAGAGTCCTCACTGACAGATGCCAGGAACTCGCCAGAAGGATCCCAACAAACAGAAAGAATTGATTTTGAATGTCCCTGCCCAAGGTACATACAACAGAGAAAGTTATGTCACGTTAAGAAGGGAGAATTCAGAGAAGAAATGTGAAGCATGTGCAGGCTGTCCATCACACTTCAGATTTTGCCTTTGATTCCTCCACCCAAAATAATAATAATAATAAATTAAATAAATAAAAAGAAAGAAAAAAGAGTGGAGAGAGGGGGAGGGGGCTGTAGTTGGAAAACAAATCTAGAAAGCATTCATCATTTGAGCTATCATTAAAGAGTGTGATTCACTGCATCACTAATCAATCTACCTATAGCTACACAAATCAACCTGTGTTTCCCCAAATACTAGCCCGTTTTTCTTTCTTTCTTTCTTTTATTCTTATCTGTTTTTCTTTTTTCTTTCTTTCTGGTTCTGTGTTTGGGTTTGGGGATGACATCAAATTGAGGATTTCTTAGCCTGCCAAAAAACTACAAGAAAGAAAAGAAAAGAAAAAAGGATCCAATCAATCATTCAAATACCTAAACAATATGAAATGCGCACTTCCAATTTCACACTTGTTGGAGTCCACAAAAAATAAGTATACATCTTCCTTGATAAATGGACAATTTCGCTATCCGATAAGTCGAGAACGTTCAAGGACTTCCCTTCCCTTCTTCATTTCACTTATTCTATTTCTGTTTTGGTCAAAACACTCTTCATTTTACATTGTATCATGAGAACCATTCCCTCCACCAATGACTCCAAGCAAAACTTTTACAAAGAGCTCCAAATTACACCTCTTGTAGCATCACCACTAGAAAAAAATATGGAAATGTTATGTTGGTTATCCTTCAATTATACCAGAATCCTTAATTACCCTGAAATGTGAAAGATCATCCATGGAAGTTGGATTCAACTTGCTTGGGGAGAAGGGGAGCATCCAGACTTGATAGAGTGGAACAAGAAGATGTTCTAGGAAATCACTACCAATTGCAACATTCAGTATTCTCCAGAAACCTTATGAGGAACGCATCACATGGAAGTTTCCCTATTAATGGTGGAAACATTTTCTATTCTTCAACTTAGGATATTATTTTAAAAATACCTACTATTTTTGTTTTTGAGAATGTAATTGTCCCATGCCATTTTTGATAATTTATTTCATTTCCATATACTATTTGCAGGCGCAGATGAACTATAAACCTCCATATTAAATCTTAAATACATTTTTTAATAAAATGTTAAATAGAGAGCAATATTGCATTTACCTCAAATATGTTCAAAGGCCAAGAATTCTATGATAGGATTACTCTATAAATTCGACTGGTGTCTTGCCATTGTTGTAACAAGAGGTCACATTGGAAGGATGATACATGATACATTTTTCTATAAGAACAGAACATAAAATACAATTTTGAAAGCTCTTAAAGAACCCAAATCATGCTGTTACAAGTTACAACAACAAAAAAAAAACCACATTCAAGACTAACATTTTCATAAACATGCACTAATCATATAAATAACAATATAAATATTTTCTAAAGTTCTGATAGATAGTAAATACTGTATAAAATTTGGTAAAGTGTGAGACGAAGTTAGATCCTGAGAAATATATAGTTGTCAGAAGCAGCCAAATAATTTACAGTATTATTGCATAGATCATTTCTGGTATCAACATGGTTGCTAAAGAAAAGGTACCGGTGGTATGAAATTTATCGAACATCACGGATAGGTTATAGGACTGGAATCTGCCTATTTCTGTCCTTTCAGGTCTGAAAGTATTTTGAGACTAGAGATATCAAATAAAAAATTACTGGTTTCAGTGTAGTTTTTATATCCTATGGGAAAATATGTTGATAAATATATCCATTACATTTTATCATTGAGATAGCAATGACAAACATGACTGTAAGGGGATACTTGGGGGGAGATTAGAGAGATACTGGCAGATTGCTTTCCAGAAATTATTCATGCGGTGTAATGAATGTTATATTGGCCCCAGTTGTACAGGATTATACACGTCATTAGGCATTTCTTTCTTTTCTTTTTCTTCGCACCACCCCCAACCCTTTTTCCCGCTGCACAAGTTTTTTGTAACTCTATGTAGCAATTACTTTACTGTTATTAGGGGAATTCAAAACCAATAAAGATATGTTAACTACTGGAATCAATGAATCATAACCTTGGTTTGCCATAAAGTGAATTGCAAATTTAAAACTGACCGGTAATGAATGCCGACGAGCTTGAGTCTCAACATCAAATATAGATACAACATTTTCTGCAGCTGCAGCAAGATATCTTCCAAGACGAGGTTGAAATCTCAACTGTGTTGTGCCGCCCTGATTCAAAAGAAATTACAAGACTGAGTATCTAAATGACTGCCACCCCCCGCCCCCCAAAAAAATATATATATAAATAAGGCTTTCACATAAATTAATGAAATACATAAGCAATAATCCAATAGTTTTTACCTTAAACACTCCTGCAGAACTACCATTATTTATACTCCAGTATCTTATCTCACCGTCCCCATCACAAGAGCAGATGAGATCATCTTTATTAGGATGGAAGTCTAGAGACATAACAGTGGCAGAATGTCCAGTAAAAGTACGAAGTGAATAGCCAGGCTGCAGTACAATTCAAAAATCAAGTTAATAAGACCAAAAGACACAGAAATATCTCATATATATATATATATATATATATATTGAAGTAAACATTCAGAAGAAAAAAAAAAATTAAGTAATCCAAATCATAGCATCTGAACAAATAGTGAATAAAGGAAAAAAATTAACTAGAAAATTTCAAGGATTGGTTTAATATTGACACAAAGAAGAATAATCAAGCATATCAATCCATAGAACATTATATGATATCCACCTTTTACCCAATGCAGGGGCATATTTGCAACACAAAATCCTAAATTATTGACCAAAAACATGATAAGTTTCCTCTTCTGAAACAGTAATATAGCAATTCAGGGAGTTCATATTTATTTCCTCATTCATTTTTCTGCATGAAAAACAATGATATTATATTGAAACTTAATAGAACTGAAAGATAATGGCACTAGATTGTGCCAGAAGCACAAGAAAAATTCAATGTAAAGGCACAAGGTCGTGACAAGGACTCCTCGTTTTCTCTTTTAAAGATAATGTTTTACAATATTGGCATAATTTACTGGCCATTACTAGTAATAAATAGCTGATGCATAAAGTTTGTATGCCATAAAAAATCTGAAGTGCCATAATTTCAAACCTTCCAATAGCAGCACTTTGTACAAATCAGAACAAGAAAAGGATCGATTTTGACCATAGCTTGCATCATGAGCAAGAGTAAGTCCTTTATTTTAACATCATCACTATACAAAAAGCAGAAACTAAATGTGTTCAGGACCATTTGCCAGTCAGTATCATCCGTGATCAAAAGTGGTGGTTGCATGACTGAACCAACCTTGGCATCGGAAGTATACGTCTCATAAGGGGGGAACACTAGCGGGAAAACAATGGATATGCTTCCTCTGTTTGTGAGCTAATTTGATGGTATGCCAAGATGCATTTAAACATCTTCTACATCATAAAAAGAATAAACAAATATACGTTACCTCCAACACCCCCGGCCAAAAACAAAAAAACTTGGGCTACGGAGTAACTGCAGAACATGTCCTCAGTTTCTCGCATTAAACCAACAATACTAGAAAAGAAACCGTAATGCATAAAAAACAAAGTGAGTAGAGCTAGTGGAACTCTGAACACCTACCCTTCACAGTCCAAACCCTTTTTCATACATCATGATGACAATACCACCATTCCATCTCCCTTAACATTTTCAATCCTTTTTTGTTAACACTCCATAGATCTTTATTTACAAATCAAAACTTGCATCAGAGATCGTGGGAAAGGGGGGAGAGAGAGCAGCAGATGGATGGGAAACCCTAAATTTGTTGTCAATAGCTAGCAACTGAACCTTGAACACCATCACCTGATATCCTGCCAATTTTTACACTGTCTACATGAAATAGGATCGCAATTCCATCGAGATCTATCAGATCTGCTATTCCATCATTGTTGGCTCTATCAGCATCGATATCAATGTTTATGCATGCATCAATATTCATTCTGTTATTATTTATTCATGAACATTGTTCGAGTATAGCATCTAGGACCAAAATGCATAGGCATGGAAGACGGGGCTTCTCCACATATTTTCATCTAAACAACGGATTTTTTCCCCAGATTTTTGGTATTTATTTTCAGAATATTTTCGGAGTTCGCCATTGTTCGATTTCCTCGCACGCTGCTAAGGAGGTGTAATTAAGGATCAGAGCTGTTTGCCACCAATACTCTCTCTCTCTCTCTCCAATTCTGGCAAACCATAGCCACTCATCAGAATCAAAACTAAGACAACCACTATCATCAACAACCAGCACCTCCTGTTTAAACCCCCATCTCCTTCAAATCACTCACTTTATTATTTCACAAGCCCCCCATCTTAGTGATCATTTTTTTAGGAAAATTCACCTATGAGAGAATGGCTTAATCTAACTCCTTTCTCAAACCTTATAAAAATTAACAAAGAATTGAAGAGTATGTATGTCTTAGGGGTAGAGAAACAAGAAAGGTGAAAGGAACAATGTGAGGGCAAATTTGTCACTATATAACATCCAAACACAATTTCTACAAAATCCATTGGTGCCTGGAAGGTCAATGATATATAGTGATAACAGGTTAAAAAAATCAGCAAATATAACAACCAAAAAATAAATAAAAAATCTTTTTAGAAAGAATATTCAGGTGCAAAAAAATACAAAACAGGAAGGGGGAAAAGGGAATCATTGCAAACACATATACAATAATCAATGAGGTATGAAAAGAAGGAAACTGTATACTGACATTGTCAGCATCCCAAACCCTGACAGTTTTGTCAAAAGAAGAAGTTGCAAGACGTGGCATGCTGGGACTGAAACGGACATCAGTGATTAATAATGAATGTTCTTCAAGCGTTGTTTTTTGCTTTAAAGTATCCGCATACCACAATACAGCCTGTAACATAAAATTAGGAGAACAAGTTGACATTATTCTTCCCAAGAATTAAGTAATATTAAGCAGCATTTAAGTTTTCCATACATTTGTTAATTCCAAACATTCTATTATTATAAAAATCCAATCAACCTTCTCAGTACTCACCCTTTTATCGTGACCACCACTAGCAAGCAGTTTACCGTCTGATGAAAAGTGGCAACATTTAACTTTGCCTGTGCTAGCTCGAACAGAATTGACTTCCGTAAATGTGAACCCTGGAGTTAAATACAGAAGTGGTATCCTCAGAGGATGTTCAAACAGATCAAATAGGATTTTTTGTCACTGATTCTTGAGTGTCATTATTACCTGTTAGAAATTTAGTTGATGCTTAGGTCCATAGTTTCAGGATGTACAAGATGACAAGCATGTATGAAAAATTTTCAAGTATATTATATTTTACATAGATTTAAAAATACAAGCATAATTATAAATAAGATGTAATATAAAAATAGAATAATCAGCATAAACTACATACAACATCAAAGCGTATGCATGTACGTGTTCTGTTTACTAGTAAAAAAAAATTCTTTCCTAAAAAATAAGAGAAATAATGTCTTTTCCTTTTTTAATTTTTTTGGAGGATGATGCCAAACACATTAAAAAGTAAACATTGACACATAAAGAGATTAGATATGTGTATGATTAGCATCTGGAAAGGATTCAAATATTCATTCACATAAATGTAAATACCAAGTTGACAATAATGACAAATAATTACATATATTAGGCATGTCCAGTTAACTAAAAAAAATACAGAAAAAAAAATAATCACAAATAATTTGAAATTTCTGTTATCGGAGTAGTAAATGTAAGAAGATGATGATAAAAAAACATAAGCCATAATGCTGGAATAGTTATGGAAACTAGTCGATGATCGAAGGCGTGATAGTGGCATATATTTGTAGCTTGCGTGCAACTAGAGCAGAATCTGGAAGACTTTCATGGTGATCAAGCTAAATGAACTGATAGCATCTAACTCACCTTTGCTAATATCCGTACAACGACCAACTGGATCTCGAGGATCTGTATCATCATGAGATAAAAAGGACTCAACATTATCCTCAAGAGATCCATCCTCCACAAAACGATCCATGTCAGCCTGCACAAGATCTTTATCATCCCACTGCCAAAATTGAAAGTCAATGAGAATACATGCAAGTAAACAGAAATTTCATCTAGCAATTCGAGAAGATAAAGAGTTCACCCACCAATTGATTTGATGATGAAGTAAGGGTGCCAGCACCATCGGTGCCGAACATCATCAAAGGCTTAGAAGAACTACCAGTATTAGGTAAAGCAGGCATCGAGATCACATCTCCGGGTGTTTGAGTTGAAGGTGTTGAGGGCGCTGAACTCGGGGAGGGTCCTGCTGTGTTTGCAGTTCCTGAGCTGTTGGCAGGACCTGAAGATGACACTGGCTGCTTTCTCTTTCTCCCAGTCTGGTTTTTTGAAGCCTTAAAATGCATTAGAAACCATGTTAGGAATCTACTTCAAAATTATATCGGCAAGCCTATGAAGTTCGTAACCACGGTAGAAAGAAAAAAGCTCCTCTAGGGAACTTTAAGGAACCTTTGGGTAGAGCAGAAATGAGACACAAATCTCAGCAGATATTAGTAAAACCAGCACAAATACTGGAGGAGTTTCTGCATTTATCTATTTTTAATAATTAATACTAGTATTTATAAATATAAATGATCAATACTGTTTAGTGTAAGAGTGTTTATGTGCGCGCTAGAGGGGGGAAGATTTCTGAACACAAGCAGGGCAAGAAGGTAAATATAAAATATAAAATGAATATTATGGTATAACCCCACACAATGCGTAGGTATAGAACATTTTCCTTTACTGACAATAAATAGGAATAGAAGGGTCTGTGTTGGAAAATTTTCAGGAAGATTCTTCTGAAAACCTTTCATGTTGGTCTGATATGGCTAGGGGCACATGCCCACACTGGTCCAAGGTAAAAGAACGTGAGAATGACCTATAGAGAAACAGAAGGGAGGAGCAAGAAGAAGTTACAAGAACTTTAAAACAAACATAAAGAAAACTACTTCTATTGAACCTTTGGCTTCCTCCCCTGAACACTATAACTTCGGAGTTCTAAGAATTTCCTCAAGAGAGACAAAAAGATAAATTTATACAAATTTTGTTAAATAGGGCTCTCTGAAATATATAAATAATATAACCTCCCAAAAAATAAATATTCATGAGAAAGAGGCAAAAAGACTGGAGAGAGAGAGAGAGCCAGTGAAGGTGCTCAGAAGACCTATTGCAAGTAATTGAACAATTCCATATAGCTATTAACGTAGGCTAATGAAGAGATGCTGCCATTTATCAGGCAGGCATGCACCTTATCACTGCATTCTCTCTTCATATCGTCAAACAAAGAATTCAGCAACTAACATAAGCAAACGAAACCAACTATCACGGCAATTTCTCTTTATATCATCAAATCAAACAAGGAATTCAGAGACAATGGGGCCACAAGAAGTGGAGAAAAAACCAAGGGCATGAAACTTCTTAACAGGATTTTCTCACGAGTGACCAGAAAAGAACAGACCTGATCATTTCCACGAAAGGAGTTTGACATGCTACCATCTGCAGTGAGGCTGCCAGCCCCCACAATTTTATCTTGTTGATGAAGATTATGATTTGAACTCTGAGGTTGCTGACCAGAATGAGCATGCTGCTGAAGCTGCTGCTGTTGTTGATTACTGTTTTGTTGTTGGTGGTGCTGCTGCGCCATTTTCAACTACACGTAAACAAAAAAACATTCAGGGACTGAAAGAGCATTGGATCTAATGTTGAATCCATAGTAAACATTACAACTCCTGAAAAGGAAGAACACCCAAGGATGAAACTACTTCAATTGCAAATAGAATAGTCAATTGATGGAGGAAAAAGCACCTTAAGTAACATATCTGGATCTACACGAGGCAAAACAGGACCACCGGCTTGCAGTGCTGATCCAACATTTGGAATTACATCGCCAACAGAATTTGAAAGGCCGTCCTTTCCAAGATTCATGTTTCGATTATTCAGAAGGGCTCTTAGCCTTCTGCTTTCCAAATCACTGGTAGATGGGGATGACATATTCTGTTGTGCAAGCATAAGCTGTTGCTGGTGCTGTGGTGACATCACCTGAAGTTGATGAAAAGGCTGCGGACCTTGCAAAAATGATTTTTGCTGCTGAAGAAGCCCAGAGCGAAGCTGATCGAGTCCCTAACACGTGCAGAAAGGACGGGAAAAAATAAATAAATAAATAAGGGGAAAAGACAACCAAATATCAATGTCACATACTAAAAGCCAACATCGCATGATCTGCGACGCCAGATGGTAAATCTCATAATACATTATCCCATAAAATTAATTATACACGGACTACTAATTACAACAGACGCAAAACAAAATGTGCGATCACCAATAAAGTGCCCTCACATAGGCTATCAGCAATAAATGCAACAATGACATGGTATGGGAAAAAGGTCAATAAACATGAAAGGGTATGTGTGCCATCAAGTTCACAGAAGACAATCAGAAAAGGCTTTGACCATCCAACTAAGAAATATGAGCTTGGCCTTCATGCTTATTGAATCACTGAATGGCAAGGTTTAGTCATCAGTACCATGGTGCAAATAATTCTATTACCTGAAAATGAATTTTATGGAGAATTTCTATTACATTCTTAAGTACTAGCATAAAAGATTTTTTTATAGATAACTCTCTAATATATCATACACTTTATTCAGAAATCTACAAAAGATGAATACACAGGTGTTAACTCAAATTAGTGATATTCCGCGTGCATGTGAGAGAGAGACGGTTATCTAATCCTCATTAATTTCATACATAAAGAACTACTGGTAAATATTCAATGTTAAATTTTCGGAAATACTCATTTAAGAAACAGCTAAAGACACTATCTAGAACTTACAAGCCCATAAAAATTCTTTCCCGCATTCCAAAAATTGGTGGGGGGGTGGGGGTGAGGTGATATACTCTCTAAGCTTAAGTGAAATTTATGGTCAAATAAAATGGAGCAAACTAACCCTTTCATTAGAAGTACAACCCAAACAAGCTACAATATTCTTGACTACTATCACACTAATTCACCGAAGCTCTATCCTGCAACACAAAAAAAATCAATCGAAGACCCAATTTTTCCTTTATATAGGAGCAATTCGTATACAATCTACAAAATAACTAATAACAAAGCCACCCTTGACCTAATCGAACAAGTAACAGAAGATTCAGACATATTATACGATAATATCCAAATAGTCTACCTGCCAGTTCTAACTTCTAAGTGGAAAGATCAATAAAACAAAATAGGGTTAAGAAAATAATTAGTTTTCTTCATCTTTTATATTCCTTGTATACATCATATTTCAAATTAGAAATTGCACATTGGAAACAAGACCAGTGGAATTTGTGAAGAACGGCCATCCACATAACCAGAAGAAAAGATTCTATCCCAAGGCTAAGAATGAGATTCAACCTCAACTGATTTTAGCTTAAACAATGTGATGGACTTGGGGATTCTCCAAACAAAGTTATTTAGTTATATATTTATTTTTGGGAAGAAAGCAAAATTTTCAGAATTCAGAGAATGCCACCTTTTCCAAAACCTTAGTAGCCACCAGGTCTGAGTAAGATGACTGAATGCTTGGGAGGCTATCATTCTTCTAAAAAAGAATCAGAAAAGGCCAACATTCTAAGCTTTAAGAGAGGAGATGAGGAAAGTGAATGCCATGCCATCTTTTGAAGTTGAAGCCTTCAGGTCAATGCAAATCTTACCAATCATACACTTGAAAATTCTGTTATAACAATCTACGAGTCTCCAATGACATTGATGAGATCTACAAACTCCGGAGAGGTTAAACCTATTCAATCTTCAAAAGAATTTTGCCAACCAAACAGGACCATTTTCTATCGAAGACAAATATCTTGAGTCTTCACCTCAATTCAGAAGGTAAAGACTAAAGAACTCCACCCCTTCCATTAATTAAGACCATTAGCAACTCTGACATCACATGTTAGCAGGTATACTTTTGCTCTTTAATAAATTCTGCTCTCATTACTAGTTTGAAGTCCAAGTGCGTAAAGCAAACATCTAACATTTTCCAATATTCCACCATAAAAAATCGCATTAAAAAATATATATATATCAACAAATACACATTACCAAAGCATATATATCAAGCAAACAACGTCTTAATCCTTTCAAATTAAAATAGGAATCGTGATAGTTTCACTAAGATTTTCATGGTAAAGGGAAGGAAGTTAGTAGTAAGAGAACCGCGTAGAACACATACCGTAAGAGGCCATCCTTTCAGTGTCAAATTATTACCACCTTGATTTGATCCTGAAACAAGACATCGTCAGGCACATGCATTTCTATATACACAATAAAACAACAAACTACAGCCATTGAGTTCCAGCATCTTCGACACATCCAATAAGTGATTGAATTAACTAGATAAAATGAGATCCTGGTTTAAGCTAATCACCTAAGTCACTATCAGAAAGATACAAGTTAAATCACAACAAAGGGAAGAATTAAGAATAGAATACCTGGTATTCCAATTGGTGATCCTTCGGGACCTGCAGCTCTGGGGTTTAGTACTGGATTCATTTCAGTCTTTATGTCCTGTTTACAAAAATATGCCAAGAAAATATAAACAAGAGCACGGCCACTAATAGAATCACTTTAAAGGAAAAAAAAAGTACTGACTGTTGTAGATCCTGGAAGTTGCTGATTCCGAGTTTGAACTTGCGGGGACATACTGCCAGTTGTACCATGCAGCACTTGCCTGAAATAAAGAGTTTTACATCCCCGTGACAGGAAAAGCACCAAATACAATCACACAACACCTACATCTTTAATCGAAGCAAATAGGGCACATTCCATGGAAATAAAAGCATTTCATTCTTTGTTTCAAAAAATTTCAAGGCATCAGATCCATATAAGTTCAAGTAGTTGCCAAAGAAAAAAATAGGCAATGTGCAATGAGATCTTGATTTTATTTGCTAAAAGTGATAATAAAAGGCTAACATCAAGGAAAATCAATTATTGCCTTTTAAAAAAATTAAAAATAAAAGAACAAAGAAAGAAAAGAACAAAATAACATTGTTTAAAATGCAACGTGCTATACTGCTATGAGATCTTCTTCTTTTTTGCTGTGCCAAATGCTACAACAAACTAGATGAAGCAGTTTCATTTCACGCTATCTACAGTTGATCCATATGTAAATCATGTCAAAGTGACACAGCCATATAAAAAGTACCCTGAGGGCTGGGCAGTTGATGCAGCTGACTTCAATATTGATGCATTATTTGGATCCATAAGCTGGCCAACATTCTCCCCAAATCTCTGCTGTAATCATAATATAAAAATTAATTAAAATTAAGAACTGGAAATGCTTTTAAAGTAATAAAATCTCCCAAGAGAGATGTATACTTTCATCACTGCATCATCTAACGAATCCCTCTGAAGTGGCAGTTTTAATCTTTCCTCATACATCTTCGTAGCCAAGGCATTAGCAGTTCCCGGGTTCTGCCTTAAAAGAGGGTCATTTCCAACGAGCCCATTAGCCGCGCCATTCAGCAGATGGGCTCCATCCCTTCGCTGCTGCTGTGCCTGTTGTTGTTGTTGTTGTTGATGCTGCTGATGCTGCTGCTGCTGCTGCTGCTGCTGTTGCTGCTGCACCTGTTGAGCATGCCTCTGCAATAAGAGTTGTTGTATCTGCAGTTGTTGTTGCTGCTGCTGCTGCTGTTGCTGCTGCTGATGTTGTGGGTGTTGCGGTTGTTGCTGCTGTTGTTGTTGCTGCTGCTGTTCCCTTGCTTTATTTAATTGAGTCTGCAATTTTCAGATCTGCTTTAGATAATCCGCTACACACAGTAAAATCGACAAAGCTTCCTACCACAACCTGAGGGTTTTACCATCTATTGACTGAACATAGCAGTAACACAAAAGAACATATTCAAAGAAATGGAACTTTCTCATCAAAAAGAAAAGAAAAAAAACTATTGTTGTTGGTTCCCCATATAGAAACCTTTCGGGTCTGTTGACTAGAAAGGCTCAACTCCCTCTTCATGGTTAAGGTTTCTTTCACCTAACTCGGAAATCCCCGAACCATATAATCTGTCAACGGCTTGTCTTGCTCCACTGCCCAGCACAAAGACACTCCCAGTTAACATAAATTTTTACAAATTTACAGCTATTCACCACACGTTAAACTCGTGGACTGTCTGATTGAAGGATGCTACCACTTCAAGAGGATTTCCTATTAAACATCTAAAACTCTTAACATGGTTATGGCATGGCTCTCTGCTTGCGCCACTTGACCCACATCCAACTAGGAAAGGTCTCTCTCAAATCCAAGCAAAGCCAAACCATCAATTGATCATAAATATAATGATATTAAGAAGTAATAGAGATATGAACAGTGTATTGATGCATTTAAAAACCGCATAACCAAGCAAGGGAAAGGAACATTGTGCTAAAAGAAATGTGCCTCTTTTGGATCACTAACTTGCATCAAGTCTGCTGTCCTTGCCTCTAAACTCTCATATAGAAAATGTGCAAGAGATGCTCAAAGTTTTTAGATTACACGTCCTAACTAAAGGTGCAAATAATATAACCTAGCAAACTAACGCGGGCCAAGGAATCAGAATTGTAATCGTGGACAAATAACTTATAATACACTTCCAGTAACAATTCAGAAAATGCAATAGTTCACATGGTAGGGGAAAGGGCGCAGAAAAATTGATTTGACTTGAGCAGTTCCATGATTTCATAACACACTTTGGCAATAACAGGTACAGGATATTAGAGAAGCAGGAGAGTCACAAATAGAGTGACGACCATGGGGAGCTTCTTTAATGTTTTACAATCACCATAATTTGCAGCACTACAACTAGCACGCATTAACATTAACAAATTCAGAACATACTTGTTCCAAAAGAACAGTTAAGTAGGAACTTGGAAGCAAGCACCAATAGGACAAAAAAGAAAACGTTGGAAACAAGACGAAAAAAATTATAATGCTGGTCACGGGAGCAACCATTTAGAAAAGGATGTGTTTGAACAATACAGATAATGAAAACATTGCAAAACTATAAATAAATTGCAACTAAATTTACAAATTAAAGCTGACAATGGAATAATCGGATAGTGTATCAGTTATGTAGAAAGTGAACTTTTGTGTATTCCTTAAAAGGGAGCACTTAGGTATGCTGCAAGGAGAAGAGATTCAGAACAAGACACGGATTACACGAAGGTGAAGAAAGAATAAAAATGTAAAGAACTTTGCAAAAGTAGGCTGAAATTGGAGTTTTGATTGGTTTCCTTGTTTGAGTTACATAGAAAGCGAACTGTGTTGTGTTGGTAGAATGCAAAGAAAACAGATTAAAGTAACCGTCGAATAGCAACCTCAGATCTTGTCAACAGAAAGCGTTACATAACTGAATACCTCAATCAAATTAAATGAATCATGTAGGAAAGTTATCCATAATAAATTAGAGAAAGAAAAAAAAAAAAAAAATCATACTAACCTCAATGTAAGATGCAGCAATATCAGAGTGCTTCTCATTAGTCCTAGCAATGAATATATCCCAAAAAACTGACCACCATTCAAAGAGAAACCCACCAGGAGCATCGATGGCTGAAAAATCAATATTTAAACATCATAACCAATCATGAAACAAACAAAACTCATAGCCAAAAAAGATTTTTTGTCCTCCCTCTTCACCTAATTTGTAAAATAATCTTACCAACAGGGTCAGTTGATACTTTTCCTTCAGCTTGAAAGGCCTGAGCAGAAGCCTTTAAATCCCTCTTTACTAAATAATCATGGATATACACATCCAGCCTGTTATCCAACATGAGAACAAAATATTAAACCATATGAGGGAAAAAGAATGCTTTTTTTTTTTAAAACCCCAAACCCAGACTTTTATCACCAAAAATCAACCCAGTAATGAAAAATCGATAATTAACAAATTTAAACAGAAAAAATAATAATAATAATCATCAAAACAGTGATACTGGAACCAACAGACAAAACCCCAAGCCTCGTAAACAGGCATAACACGCACAAGATTATAACTGAAGAAGTGCTAAAACCACAAATAGGGACAAACCAACATAAATAAAACCAACAATATTAGACATTAAAAAAAACAGAACCTTGTTTAACAGAAACAAGGGTTAGATTCAAGAAATCAACTAACCCAGAATCCAAATTTAACAGAAAACAATAATTTACCCCCAAAAAGAAAAATCAACCCAGTAATGAAAAAAACCAGTAATAAACAAATTTAAACATAGAAACTGAAAATACTAACACACACATGAACACACCCACACCTCATAAAACACCCATCATACCCATAAATTTAAAACTGAATAAGTGTTAAAACCACAAATATGGACCACCCAACGTGAATAAAACCAACAAGATTAGGGATAAAGAAAGCAGAACCTTACTTAGAAATTAGGAACAAGGGTTAGATTCAAGAAATCAACTTACCCAGAATCCAAATTTAACAGAAAATAATAATTTACCCCCAAAAAAGAAAAAAAAAAATGCCTTGGATGGAAATAAAACAGAAATATGTATTAAAAACTTACATTTTATCAGCTTCCCAGTTGGTCTGAGACATGTTCAATCCAGCACTAAACCAGTGAATAGTAGTAATTTCAGACCTAATTCGTAAGCAATAGGAGGGCACAGTTTGAGATACAGTTAGAGAGAGAAAACGTAGAAACGTGTTTGAGATAATATAAGCAGAAGTTGTAATATACTAGCAATTAGTAATTCAATACTATTTTATATATATATAATAGTTCGGTAAGGAATGAGCTTATATAACACGCACACGTAGCTATGTGTATATATACATAGAGAGATGGAGAAAGAGAGAAGGTTCAATGAGAGGCGGTTTTTTACTGTAAATATACGGTAATATCCTTGACTGCTACGGAGTACTGAATTTGAGGCGATTCAAAGAAAAGTGAAGTAGGGTGAAATGGGGTGTGAGGTTTTTTTGGTCCGAAGACAAGTTTCATAATTTTTTTTTTTCTTCCGATAAAATACTTCTGTTTTGGGTAAATTATACGAACCTCTCTTATAATTTGTCATAATTACAAGTCCTCCTTCTAATTTGAGAATTTACACAAATTTTCCTTAAAATTGAAACTTACCTACACGGATCTTCCTTATGTTAGAGTCAACGTCAATCAATGACCGATTGTGCTGACGTCATGTACATAATACACTGAAATTCCTATATTGCCCTTACTTGAAGTGTGTGTGTATGAATATGTGTGTGTGTGTGTGTGTGTGTGTGTGTGTGTGTGTATATATATATATATATATAATTGTGGCAGTCCAGTTGGCAATCAACCTACAAAAAAAGACACATGGGTTTGTTAAGTTGTGAAGAAGATGTCAAGCACTGTCTGAAATGCGCGCAAGCAGCAAGGAACGATAAGCTCCGAATGCATTCCGGTGGTTGTAAGGCTTGGGATATGCCGACGACACACCGAAACAACATCGAATCCTATACAATATTAGGGTTTAAGAGAGGAAAAGGAGTCAATGCTCGTTGACGATGGCGTGCTTGTTCGAATCAACGTCCCCGTCTTCGGCGATGTACGAATCGGAAGAACGAGGATCTATAAATCCCTAACCCAAACCCAAATCACCACCGTCACCAATTTCCCTTTAACCATGAGTATATATATATATATATATATATATATATATATATATATATATATATGGAATAAGTGCATAAAACACCCCTAAAGTATACTCTGTGTAGCACTTTTACCCCCTATTTGAAAAGATGTACAAAAAACACCTATAATATTTTCACATTGTGCAAAAATATCCCATCTGACATAAATTAGTGTTGTAATGCCATTTTTACCCTTTTATTCTTACGAAAATGCCCAATGAGGTATATATACTACTAATCTCATAGTATAGGGGTGTTATGTTCACATTACCTTATTTAAAAAAAAAAAAAAAAAAAATTCTCTATATATATCTCTAAACATATTTTTTTTTTTTTTTTTAATTTTGAGAATTTGTAAAACAATGATTTGAATTTTTTGAGATTCCAGTTTATTCTTTCCTACTAATTTTTTTTTCTTTATTTTATTTTTTTTCATACCAACACTGTTAAACAAAAAAATAATAAATATCAGTGTGCACTAGTTTTCGGAGTTTGAAAATTTTATTTCTTTTAGTTTACACTTTATTTTTATTTTTTATTTTCTATTTTTATCTTTACTTTTATTTTTATTTTCTATTTTTATCTTTACTTTTATTTTTATTTTATATTTTTATCTTTACTTGTCCATTGTCGACGTCCTCTAATGGTGTCATTTTCGGTCATTTTATAAAATTATTTATTTTATATTTTTTATATAATGATTCAGTAAGGGTAATTTAGTCAACTTAGGGTTTAAATTTGTCAGAGCGACCTATTTGCACCAGATTGAAACTTTATGAGTGTTTTTTGCACGAGAGAAGCATCCTCCAATAGTGTCATTTTTTATCATTTTACAAAATTATTTATTTTTATATATTTAATAAAATGGTTCAATAAGAGTTATTTAGTCAACTTAGGCCCGTTTGGCATGTGCTTTGTTTTAGGCATTTTGTTTTTGGCTAAAACAGAAACATTGTTTTTGTTGTAGAAGTGTTTTGGAAAAAAAATCAAAAGCACGTTTGGGAATAATGTTTTGCTGTGGAAATGTCGGAAACAAAAACATACAAAACATGTTTGGTAGGTCATGCTTTAAAAAATGTCTAGAAAAATTGCTCCCTACTTTTCTGAAAAAAATATGTGTGTCTTGCTCAAGAGAGGATACAAATGTCTCAACTGACTCCTTTCTAACCCTTGCGGAGAAGGATTGACATGATTTGAGACAGTGGAAGCAAATACTGATGGTTGTTCCCCCACATTTGGTCACCTACTTTAACTACAATGCCTCAGCCTCAAACAACCCTGTATTTTGCAGCTTTTAAGGCCTCAATTCATTCTTCGAATTTCCCTTCTCAAAATTCAAATCTTCCTTAATAAATCCATTATGATCATTCAAGAATTTCTCCTTCATATCATTACCAAATCTAGAAAATGAAGCTTTGTTCGACTTATCTTGTTCTACAGCAGGCATATATTCCAAACCCATAAGCCTAGCAACCAAATTGGGAGCTCAGATTTCATGATTTTGCTCAACATCAACACTTCGAATCCCGTTTTTCTTCACATGTGGGAAACCCCCGCTGTTTTCATGAGCAATCTACATTCATACACGACGCCGTTTTCCCTGTAGTCATTCATCTCTCGAGCAAAATCCAACCCTACATTCAATTATTTCAGCTATGCTTCCAAAAAACACTGCACACCAACAATCCTCTTCAAATCAACCAATTCGTAAACCCTAGATTCAAAAAAATCCCCCAAAAATTAATCAACAAACCCTAGTTCCCTCAAATAGGCGGGCATCAATTGATTAATCTTATATTCTATTGATTGATGATTTCATTTCTATTTTGCAAAATCAATCACTTTCTCTCTCATTCTCGAGTCACATTGTGATCCAAAAATAGTATCAAATGCTCTGAGTAAGCAATTTTCACAAAAACTACATGAAACTCTGACCTCCTTTGAGCACAATAACTTTGATAGGTGTTATATTTAAGCAAAATCAGCAAGTTGAGGGCTTAACTTTGATCGGTGATGGGTGAAATCTGAAATTGTCCTTGAATTGCCAGAGACATAATCGGGAGAAGAGAGAGAAAACGTTCTTCAAACTGACCTAAAATGTTTTATATACCTAGAGCAAGTGTGTTTTAAGTTGGGCTGGGTGTTTCCTCTGTTACAGTGAATGTCATGGGCCAATAGTGCCGAAACAAGTTAAAACAACATTTTAGTGTTTCAGTTTTGGGGCTTTTTCATTGAAATGTTTTACAACTGTGCAAAACAAAATAGAACCAACCAAACATGTTTTGGGCTTCATTTGGGCTGTTGTAGTGGGCCTGAAACAAAAACAACAAAAGTAAAACAGATACCAAACAAGGCCTTAAGGTTCAAATTTTTTAAAGAGACTTATTTGCACCAAATTGAAACTTTATGGCACGTGAAAGGTGTAATATGCACTGTAAATATACTTTAAGGGTGTTTTTTGTACCTAACCGTATATATATATTTACATATCATTGCTAACAGATGAAAAACTTTTCTCCACTTTAAGATTTAAGTATATAATATTACAAATCAAATTCTTAAATGACTACTAAGAAGACACAAACGAGGTCTTTTTCCCCAACCCATTCCGAAAATCTCTTATGAGTCATGACTCGCCAGTTGCAATAGATTGCAATACATGGAATTTAATTTGCTCGTGTACTTATAACTTGGGTCTTAAGGCTAAGATGCCTAAAGAAAAAGCTGTTACTTACCTACTGATTCTCTTGAGAGATACATCCATAGGCATATGGCTTCAATTGTTACATACTAATTGATTGCACTTACCATTTTTACTCCACTTCTAATAATTTTTAGGGGAAAAATCAATTTGCTTCTAATACATATATAAATATATATATATATATATATATATATATATATATATATATATATATATATACTAGGAAAAGTCACGTGCGATGCATGTGCTGAATGTCTTATAACTTATCGATATATCAAACCGCTCATTTTAAAATTGTTTATAGTTTTCCTTATATGATATTGTCAAATATTAATAAATATTTTTTTATATTAATAAATAAATACTAAATATTTTAAAATTGGCAGTAGAATTTGGGAATTGTAAAATAATAAATTCTTTTAGATTTTTATAAATTATTTTAGTTAGATACTATAGCGGCGTGTCCATATTGGGGGCAGAGATACAGTGCGGTGTTGCTCATAGAGTTGCGGTGCTCCTTAAATCAGGACCATCTTATGGTCCTAATCACCAGCGAATGATCCTGTGTGGGCGCATGTATGAGAGGATGTTACACTCGCTATGCTGGCCCATCGGATTATTTTAATCTAAGAGGATTGCTCTAATATGCTTATAATCTGCATAAGATGTCTATGTATAAATTAGCTATTGTTGAGTCTAAAGTTAGTGCTACATGGTTGAATTGTAGGCATTGATGAGTTGTCATAGGCGTAAATATATTGCCTAAATACTTGTATGAATAAAATACATACATGGGATCCGTGACATTGAATCAAAGACTGGGTCTAGCTCTGATACCAACTGTAACGGGTGAGCACTTGCCTATTTACCCAAAAGCTTAAGTTGTTGGGTAGTACTGCATACCCACCCATTTATACCCATTCACTTTCCCATCTGGATTCGATGTGGGACAAATGACTCTTGTTACACCAACCCAGGTTAGATATTTTTCATTCAACTTGTTAACGTGGCCCAATAGATTTAAAACAAATGTCCAAAAGCAAAAGTTAGAATTAAGTTGTGTAATTCCCAACTATTCGGGTTTAACCCATTAATGTGAGATTTTTTTTTTTTTTTTCAAACTGGTGAGAATGGATGATTGAACATAATGACGGATGGTGGGCATGAACTAGCGATAAAGAGGTGAGCAAAGATGCGGCGGCGACATTGAACAGAACCGGCGAGGAGCAAGATTACTTTTACCGGCGTGCAAGAACTATGTGATAAACACGGCAAGGACGACGGGCTACTGTGGACTATTGAGCTTAGTGATGATGAGCTAGCTCGAAGTTTGGCCGGCGAGCTCGGATGATGGAGGTGAAGAAATGGGGTGAACAAT